AATCGAGTCAAAAGATGCTTATGAGGGTATCATGCAAAATTAATTAAGGACTAAAATGAACTAACATGCAAGCAACATGCAAAAAATAAAATTAAATAAAAATAGGACTAAAACATAAACAATCAAACCATCATGTCAAAATTAAAATAGAATAAAGTATAAAAGTGACTAAAATGAGCATGCTTAATATTGGGTGCTAAAATTACAAAGAATAAAAATAAATAAAACATGGGGACTAAATTAAAAATAAACTAAAATTGCATGGCCTAATTAAAATAAATAAAAAGACAGATTCTGGTTCGAAATACAAACATGCAGAAACTATGAGGCTATTTCCTAAATATTCCTTTTTTCCTAGCCTAAAATATACATTCGAAAAAAAGGGAAAATTACTAAATCAGTCTATAAGCATTTAAAAAAAAGTAAACACACTACACATGACCAAAATGAAAAACACGCATAAATATACAGGGACTAAATAATAAATAACCCTAAAAATATATAACATGCATAAAAGTGGGTAAATTACAAAAATAATCCCTACAGGTGACTAATAGCAAAACATGCTAAAGTTAGGGGGACTAAACAACAATTAACCCAAAAATTTATAACATGCACAAGAAACATGTAAATTACAAAACCGATCCCTATAGGTGACTATTTTGCAAAAATACGCTTAAAATCGATGGACCTAAACGTGATTTCCCCCGAAACGTTTCTTATATATACAATTTTTTTCTCATTTGACAACCGATTTTTTTATATATAAAAAACTTGAGAGTTCTCTCTTCTCTCTCTTTCTTTCTTCGGTTCTTGTCTCCAACCACCGCAAACGAAAGTCAGAACTCCCAAACCGACCCAAAATATCCTTAAAGCTCATATCTATACCGCTAGACACCTATAGTGGGCTAAAACTTCGTAAAAAGAACCTTAAAATACCCAAAACAAGCCCCAACCCTTTGGCTCTCACACACTCCAATGACGACGAATCGACCCCCGGTTCGACCTCCCCCAAGTAACACTCGTCCCCTTTCCCTTTGATTTTTGTTACATGCAAGGTGTTTCCTTTTTTTTTTCTTTTGTGTTTCGAAACTTGGAGAAACATTAACGAAAAAATACATTTTTATGTTTCTTGATTTTTTTTTGCTTTATCGCTTCTTTTTATCCGAAAAGGGGAACCCTTATACAATCGTGTTCAGGGATTTTATAACCCCTATTTTACAGTTTTCTCTTTCTTTCCTTTTTTACAATATAAAATCATTGTTATTTTTGCGTGTGAATTTAGGGTGCGTTTGGTTCACGGAATATAAGATTACCAGTGGGAATAGGATTACCGGAATGTAACATTACCTAACACATTATTGGGAATGTTACATTACTGTGTTTGGTTTCTTTGGCAGTAATGTAAGATTACAGTGTTTGGTTGAAGGAAAAAATATTACTGGAATGTATATTTTACCAAATTGACCTTATTCTATATTTTTTAACAAGTGAAATTCTAATTATTTAAATAAAAATCATTTATATAAAAATTCATCGATAATATATTTAAATAAAAATTATTTATATAAAAATTCATATCATAGTTGTTTTATTGCCATTCCTGCATTATATCCATTGATCATACAGAGAGTAGATGTTCTAAACATTCAATGCAATTGTGGCAGGATCATAGATATTACAAATTGAGAAGAAATAATTGCACTAAGAATTTATAACAGTTATCCATTGTCATACAGTATGCATGTCTAACTGTAGGAAAAATCCTAGGCGAATGGAAATTTATAGCAAGTACTGAACATTTGCAAAGAAATATGAGCCTTTTATATAACTTATAATATAGGACAACAAGGATACATTTACAACCAAGTGACTATTATCATAATACACCACATTACAAACTAAATACCAGCATAACCCAACGGTTGTATATGTCGACTGGTTAGAGAACAGAAGGCCTCATACTTAAACCATCTGTATACAAAACGTTTTAACTTCATTACATTCATATGATTCACCTCACAAGTTGCTCTTTTACATTTTTTCCCATCATCGAATTGGGGGCAGCATCACCGGCCTTTCTTAGATTACAAAGCAATGCATCACGCCCTGTCAAAACTATTTTGAAAAAGATATCTACTTTTGAAAGATTATCCAACCCTTGTGCCCATGGTAGTGTATTAGGGACAGTTAAGTCTAACAAATGCTTGGAAGAACCAGAGAAAGCAGTAGCAAAGACACTGCATATATATGTAGTTGCCACCTTAGCTCCATACATAGCTCGCATCAACACCTTTCCTTTTGAAGAGTTCTTAACTTTTGGCAAGTTTAGTGATTCCAAAAGGTTGTCCAAGATTGGCCGACAAGTTTCAATTCTGGGGTTTTTGGAGCTAATGTGCTCTTTTCAGTTATCAAGTGAGAAAGAGGCCCGCGTGAACTGCTCTGGGGAGTCGGACTCCAACTTATGCAAGACATATTGAAGCATGAGATAGCCTTGGTTAAGTCGTGTAAGCTCAGAGGTAAAAGCATTACTGATATCAAGAAGCTTCACACTGATATCCAGGTATACATCCATCCATTTTTCATCCCAATCAGTCACAGGGAGATCAATCTCAGTTATCAGGTTCTTATGTCACAATGAATCTCATAAAGTAACTCCATTGTCAATTTCATCCATGACAAGCTGAGGATGTCACCCTTATCTTTAGGCACAAGTTTTTTCAGCCTCTCTGATAAGGTGGTCTTAAAAGTGTTCAATAAAGAAAGAAGTATTGGAGACAACTGAGAACCCTTAGGCGATATCATACGGAAATGATTTTCAAAATAGAAGAAATGGCGATTTGGTTCCTGAGGATGACTCATCTTGACTTATTTAACTACAAAAAATAAAAGAACAAATTCAATCATCAGAACTCAAACTCAAATAACATTAATAATTCCATGGGTTATAATAGACAAAAACACCCAGAAGTTTCTATAAATATTCATCTTTATAATTACAAGAATAGAAGCCTTAAAGTCGTAATCTCCATAACAACAACAAACTATTAGTTCCAGGACACATCACACAACAAAAAAAGCATTCCTCTGAAAACCTCCCTCTCGTTTCTAATGAGAAGGCAAATTAAGTTGAACATTTCTTCGAAACTATACCCAGTAGATCTAACCACCAAAATACCTCATAAACATCAAAATTCATTACCAATTAGATAAGCCGAATTTTTTGGATTAAAAAAAATGATTGACCGCGGTAAAGATCAATTATTTTACACCAAAATCATGACAATATATGCAAAAGATCTTGTGAAACGGTAAAATAAGGAGACATGTTCAAAAACAATCAAGTCAAAGTAGCAAGTGAAGATCTCCTTGATCTCCTTCATTTCCTTCAAGGTATCCAAGAAAAAACTGAAACACACATATTTAAAAACAATTCTTTAACGTCCAAAGTCAAAAACACGTAAACTAAAGCCAGTTCTAATAAAACTATCAAAAAGATATCTGCAAACAAAACTGAAAGTAAATAAACCAATTATATATGTAACCTTACCCAGTATTAGATCCTTAAATCCGAACAGAAGTAAAAACTCTCGACATATTGATGGTGCTTTGTTAGGAACTTAATATTAAAAAATAACAACCTAAAACTAAGAATCCTCAACTACAAAATTTTCTCGGGAAGAAATTGTGTTTCTTCCGAAACAAACAAATATGGGAGAATTAAAAAGATCTAAAGAAAAAGAAGAAAAAAAGGATCAGAAACAAATCATAACCCTAACAACCTTCTATCATAATATAATAAAAGAATTTGTGTTTCTCCAGAATCGAAAAAAGAACATATAATTGAAACGATCTACAGAAAAGTAAACACAAAGGAAATGAAAAGAGAGAATTCCACCTGACGTATTATTACTTCGTAATCGGGAAATTTCTATGAAATCTTCAAACGCGTACTGGGTTCGGTCTTCCTGTTGAAATCCCCCTTGGAAACAGAGAGTTCTCGACTTCCTTGGAAATCAAAGACGATGGCCCATATTTTGGCATCCCCTTCAACCATATAAAGATGAGAACACAAGGGCGAATCTTTTAACACCAAAATACTACCGATGGAAGCAGGGGATGGGCGATGGAAAGCGGACAAAAATCACGCACGACGGTAATTTCAGAGAATCTCGATAGCCATAACGAAATGGGGAGAAGATTATTTTAGACAATGAGACGGGAATAATGAAATACCTAAGAGAGAAGAGGGATAAATATTCCCGGGAAAACAATAAATAAAATCACTGTTGATATTAATTCATTCCTGACACTTGGTAATGTGAATCCATCCAAACATGGGTATATTACTCAAGGAAAAAACATTCCTCCCATGAATGAATTATAACTTGAACCAAACAGGACCTAAGGGTTGATTGCTGATCTGGTTGTTTTGATAGGACAGGGGACTGACGTGTGGTTGATGACAACGACGGTGATAGATGATTGGTGGAGATGACATTAGATTGGCGAATTAACCCATGAAATTGGGGATGAATGACAACCATCTTAACACGTGGTCAACGTCCTCAACACTTTTCTTGCAGATTTGACACTTGTCCGCCGTCGCCTTGTGCCTGCGGATGGGTTCAGCATTAGCTAACAATATATAATGGAACACAACAAGAGAAATACACGTATTCTTCGTGGTGTTTCAACTTTGCTAACGGCAGTCCAGCATTCCTCCTTTGCACTGGGTTTAGTTAGACTGGAGACCACAAATTATGTTTTGACAGGAACAGGAGACATGGGGAGAGATTCATTGAACCGTTAGATGTTGCAGACTTCTTCACCTTCTCATGAAAGTTTTTGTAGTTCCAGGTTGTAATAATTACAGGATATACCTTTGATTCATGTCAAAAGCAATGCTCTGAACAAACAAACATCTTCTGCTATGGAAACTAACGATTACATTACATCAGATCTGATAATTTCATAAATAAATAAATAAAAGATAAGGAAGCCTGTCAGACAGCTGCGTGACAATCCCAGCAAGACAAGACGAAATGGGAACAACCGCGGTCAAGGATTGCCGACACTTAGTAACCCAGACCAGTAATCACGCTCTGATCACACAGCCTCAGTTCATCAACCAGACTTGGAATCCTGTCTCCTTAGAACTCAAGGATACAAAGGTACGAGCCTATAGAAGAGATCCTATTCAAGTAAGGTCGTGCTCTTTTATTGTTCTAAGTTAAATACCATCAGCCTTGGTTTTTCCTCCACGGTGTGGGATATTGTTCAGCTTCCGACAAAAAACAATCAGTGTTTTAACTCTTAACCTACTGGTGTCTTCCGTTGTTTATTTAGCCATAAAAGGAACAGATAGTTTATTTACCAAAAACAGGAGGATAGTTCATTACATCATCCCGGAAGAAATTTAAAAAAATTCAAATATAATTCATATCTAAATTATTTTTTAAAATTATCGATTTTGCGTTTCAAGAAGCAATGTCGTTATCATGTTATGGAACACATGGGTTGTATTTGTCGTTTGCAATTAATTTTTTGTTTGAGTGAAGGATTATGGGTAGTGATTATATAATAGTTGATTGATGTTTGGATCTTTTATATCTAAAGGAAGTAGAATAAAAAGGATTAGCAAAGAAAAAAGTTTGTTATTTTTCTTGTCGAGAGATTTTATAACGACCATTAACATCGGTATCAGTTGTACGATCATGATAGTTATTTATAAGTTAATAAACCTGACATTTACGACAAATTGATAAAAAAAATTAATTCTGATCAATCATATAGATGTATCAATGATCATATCAATAAATTGTGACTTTATAAAAGGTGTAAAGGCCTAAGTCCTTGTGTCCAAAGATGTTTTTTCAGGATTTCAACAACAAAGGGGTCCTTGTGTCCAAAGCAATGCTCTGAACAAACATCTTCTGTTATGGAACTAAATGAATGCATCAGATCCTACAATAGTTTCAGGGGAAAAAAGGTATTAGGAGTCTGTCAGACAGCTGCGCGACCATCCCGGGAAGACGAGGCAGGGAAAAAAAAGTATTAGGAGTCTGTCAGACAGCTGCACGACCATCCCGGGAAGACGAGGCTAACCGAGAACGATCCTCTGCGGTCAAGGTTAGCCGACATTCAGCAACACCGACCAATAATCACGCTCTGATCACGCAGCCCTGGCTCATCAACCAGACTTGGAATCCTGTCTCCTTAGAACTCAAGGATACAGAGGTACGAGCCTATAGAACAGATCCTGTTCAAGTAAGGTCGTGCCACACTATCTCCAGGTCCTACTTTAAATACCATTCGCCTTTGTCTTTCCTCCATGGTGTGGGATATTGTTCAGCTTCCGACAAAAACAGTCGGTGTTTTAACTTTTAATCTACACGTGTCTTCCATTGTTTATTTAGCCCTTTCAAGGACCAGATAGTTTATTTACCACAAATAAAAATAACATAGTTCGCTACATCATCCCAGAAGAAATATATTACTGTAAAATATTCTCTTTTTTTCTGAAATAATTTGACTTTCAAATGAAAACCACCTTTGATAGAAACGACTAAAAGATTAAAATTAATTTGATAGAAATATATCTCTAATTATCATTATAATTATAATAATATGGTTTCTGAATTTTGTAGCTAAATTGGTTTAATCAATGTTGGTTAGATGGGGAAGTGATGTTAGACTAGTGTCTTTAGTGAATCCATGCTCTAAGCTTAGTTGGATGTGGGTTTTGTTGTGACTTATTCCTTGGGAAATAATATTGGTACGGTGCACAATTTTTATTAGTACATAATAGATTTGATGTCATAAAGATATGCTCAAATTAAAATATTATTCCAATTTGATTTATTCTATTTTAGGCTTTTGTATTAAATCTTGATACCCGATTTTTATTTGAAGATATTTTTCTCACGATACTCGATTTTGGTTTACAATCATCAGTATTCTTTTAATAGTTTGAACCTATATTGTGGTGGTTTGTCAATATAATCATATTTATTTGTATTTATCTTTTGTTCGGAAGTTTTTTAGATGAATTTTTAACTTTTTTCCTTATAGGATCCTTGTATGATCACAATTGACTATTTTCTCAATAATTATAGAAATGTGTCCTAATTATATATTCAATATACCTTTATAATTATAAATCTTCATTGTAATTTAAACTTTTTATACATTGAGATCAACTTCAAATCAAATTTAAGGTTTTGAATTCTAGAACACTAAATACTAATATGGTGTACATCAAAACATAAAAATATTTAGGGTAAGCTATACATTCAGTACCTAAAGTATCAGTTTCAGTCCGTTTTAGTACGTAAACTTTCAATTTTTTCAAAACCATACCTAACGTTTAGTTTTTGTTTCATTTTAGTATCCGTTTATTAAAAACTTAACGCGCATAGTATATAAAATATAAATTTTGGTTCGTTTTAGTACTTAAACTTTCAATAAAAAATCAAAGCTTGACGTTAAAATTTGAACGAGATACTACAATGAAGCAAAAACTAAACTTTAAATATGATTTTAAAGAGATTGAAAATTTAAATACTGAAACATATCAAAACTAATAGTTTAAATATTAAATATATAATTTACCCAAATATCTATTGCATAATAAAATTGGAGTAATTGGATAGGAATTTAGAATACAAAAAAAGGGAAATGCCGCCCACAAAATAAAAAGTGTATTAATTCCAAAAATGAGAGGGATCCTAAGGAGGCATGGCATGCAAAGACTTTGTGATAATGCCAAATTCAATTGAAAAAGGGCATGTACCCTACAATCTGGGTGCTTGTGGTTGTGGGGTTTCTTAAACCTCTTTTTATTATTTTCACAAAATAAAAAACATTAGGACATTGGACCACCTTTCCCGCGTAAAATAATAAAGTCGTTCTATAATCATAAGGTTTTATTGGCACACTATGCTTTTGTATTTATTGATAGTGAGGCTAATATAGTGAAAAATAAATAATTTAGGGAAATTATGACATGTTAAAATTATTTAAGGATTTAGAATAATGATTAAAATCTTCTTAAAAAGGTGTACGAATAAAGTGATATCGGTGGTAAATAAATTGTTATTGTTTTTTGAAGTTTTATGTCGGAGCATCGGGAATACCATAGATGTGAGCGTTCAATGTTAAATAATTGAGAGTTATCTTCGAATAGATATTGTAACACCCTGAATTCCGGGTTAGTAGTTCGGGTCAACCTGAAACTCAAAGTTGAGCCATTGGACCTTATTATATTATAATTGGACCAAGTTTGTTGATTGTGAGCTTGAGTTAGGGCCCAAAGAGAGTTGTTGTTTGGCGATGAGAAAATTTATGAAATAAAAGTAAAGGACTAAAAGTGTGGTTTACCCATAGCTATTTTGAAAGCTGAAAAACCCCTTATTATATATGATTTTTACGTAAACTAACCCCCTTATAACTCACCAAATATTCTTCCTATCTTCTCATCTTTCTCTCTTCTTCATTCTTTCCTAAAGTGAGGAATTTAGAGAAATCCAAGCTTAGTTTAGTGAATCCAAGGTAAGATTTCAACTCCTTATTCTTCAAGCTTCAATATAAGCTCAATTTCATTAGTTTTTATGCGTAGAACCAAAAATGGATTTTGAAGGGTTTGTGAGAATCTATGGATTTTAGCTATGTTTTGATTTATAAGGAGTTATTTAGAATGTATCCAACCTCTAGACGGATTAGTAATCCATTTTCTTACCTTGTTTAGTGAAGGAAGTAGGAGAAAGTTCCAAATCAAAAGGTAAATAAAAGTTGAGCATTGGTTGAGTTGAAGAGAGTTTTAACCACCAAAGAAGCAAGGTAACACCTTTACAACTCTTCTATACTCTTAGTGAGTCATTAGAAGTTCAAGATAGTTTAAATGTTTGAGTTGAGCATGATAAGCACTTTCATGGTGAAATTCTTGTTGCTAAGTTATAAATGTGTTTAAAGCCTCTATTATGACCCTTGTTGATCAAATAAAGCTTTAAGCATGTTTGGGAACCTCATTAGGGTCTTTGGGATTGAAAAAAATAGCATTTTAGTATGTGTTTTATGACTGTTGCAGGCAGAGTATCGATACTATAGGGATAGTATCGATACTCGTTTTTCGTTTTGGTCAAATTCGTGAGTTTCTGGGCAAGAGTATCAATACTCTTTCAAGATTATCGAAACTTTGGGTCAAAGTTTCGAAACTCCCATAAAGTTTTGCAACTGGGCAGAACAGAATGTTTAAAAGTATCGATACATATATAAATTATCGAAACTTTTGCAGGAGTATCGCTACTCTTGGGCTAGTATCGATAATTTCGGTCTGTTTTTGGGCAAAAATGTTAGTTTTTAAGGGAATTAGACTCGAGGTACCCAACACTTATTTTTATCATCAAATAAGACTACAAGCGAGAATATTAATGATATTAATATTACACTTAGAAACAAGATTTATTAGGATGACATAAAAATAACCTTGGATGATGCTCAGGAAACGACCAGGACACCCAAGTTCCTTTAGAAAACGCTGGCATTATCGAAAGTATAGATTCAGTCCGAATATATCCTTAGGTAGGGCCGAGGCCCTTTTGACTAACTATGTTTGTCGAGGCCTTAACACTCTTTAGAATAAAGGGTGGGTTAGTCAGGGGTATGATTTTTGATGCAGAGAATTTCGGGGGCCATATCCAGGGTAGACTAGAAGGGTGTGTGAGCTCCGAGATGCAGAACCCTCAGCCGCACCATGATGTCTACCATAGCTTAGAGAGTGAGTATTCGATAATACTCTCTAAAGCAGTTCTAAAGCATATTAGCTTGGGCGCAAGGTCCAACACTCAAGGAGTGAGCTAGTAGAACATAACAGATAGTAGAACAGATAGCAGTAGACTTGATAGATTGAGCATGTCATGAACACTTTTAGTATGTCTCAGTTGTTAGTGTGGCACTGAGTTAGTTAGCTGAACGTTTGGAATTTGTTTCATTACGCAGGTTAGTCGAGGAGCAGTCCGATGACTTTTTTACAGACCCCAATAGTGCATAATACATCTCGAGTTCATCTTTAGACGATATGTATAATTATAAACCCCGATTTGTATATTTTTGTATGAGTCGTAACTCATTTTAAATTATGGTTTGTATGATTTAAATATTATTTTGGGAGCTCATAATGTAAACTATTTTATTTAAAATGAAGTTGATTTATTTTAGTATGAGTGATTACAAATATTCACTTTTAAAATGGAAAATGTTTTTAAAAAATTTGGTTAACCACTCCGGTGGTTCCATGTGGCATTCTAATCGGTTTACTATATGTCGTACTGATTTAGTTTATTACATATACTACCTTGTACTTACCATAGATTAATCAAAAAAATTCTTAAGAGGTTAATTATTTGAATAAAATTATATTTCAATTTTTTATTAGTATAAAGTAATTATAAGATAATATTTATTTAAAAAAATTAATTATATATTAAAATTTTCATTAACTATTAGTGTCTTTAAAATTAGATATAGACTAGATTAATGGTACGATTACAATTCTTTTTGAATTTAGTTGAATTTGTATATTTTTTTATTTATAATATATATTAAAAAAATCCATAAAAGATAAGTCTGTTTATAGGTAGGGGTGTTCATTCAGTTAAAACGGTGGTCGACCGAATTGAATTAACCATAACCGAATTAATCAAACTTTTTTTTTCTTTAACCGTTAATCGAACCGAATTTTTTTCGAACATATTAACCGAACCGAATAAATTTCGGTTAATTCGGTTAATTTCGAATTAACCAAATTTTTTTAAAAATTTTCTAATTTATATAAAAATTAAATATTTTTTAATTCAAAAAAGTTTATAATTAATTTAAATAATATATAATTATAAAATAAAAATTTTAGATAATTTTTTTAATTAATTAATATTGATTTAAGTTTAAAAGTTATTGGATTTTAAATTATTAATTGGGCTTTAAATGGTTTGGGCTTAGCCCATATGCTATATATAATATATTTAATATTTTTTAATTAAAAACAGTTTACAAATAATTTAAATAATATATAATTATAAAATAAAAAATTTATATAATTTTTTAATTAATTAATATTGATTTAAGTTTAAAAGTTATTGGATCTTAAATTATTAATTGGGTTTTAAATGATTTGAGTTGAGTTCATATGTTATATATAATATATTTAATATTTAAAATTTAATTTCGATTAATTTGGTTAATTAACCGAATTCTAACCGAATTAACCAAATTCTAAAAATTTTCTTAACCGTTAACCGATCGAACTAATTCGATAACCGAACCGAATTAACCGAACTAATTTAATTCGGTTGATTAACCGAATTAATTCGATTATTTGAACGTATGCGAACCAACATAAATTTCGCCCTAAAAAAGGCTTTCCTTTTGTATTTTTAACTAAAAATGGCAGTGCTTAAAGCATTTTCACCAGAATAAAAAAGTGATATTTTTTATTTTTTTTATAATTACAGTGGCAAAATAACGGACATTCTTTGCTCTAAATTTCTATTAAGATTAAAAATGAAACAAAAATAACTATAAAAAATTAATCAGAGATTTTTTAACATTATTAATATAATATATTTATGCAAACTTTTTAAAAATAATATTTGAATTATTTAAATAAAATATATATCTCTTTGACACCGAAACAACTGCTTAAATTTAATTTTGATGGGAAAATTAGATTCCAACAAGTCACTTCTTTAATTACAAATCCTAAAACTATTTATATTTTAGTATATAATTAGAAAAAAAAACTAATTAACTATTACATATATTTAAAATCAAAAACAAAAGGACACCACCACTATCTCGTATCCTCAAACCCTTTCTCCTTCCTCACATTATTCTTCAGTACTCCTGAAAAAGAAATAAACCCAAAATTTTATTTATTAATCCTTCAAATACAAATCTAATAAAAATGTGAAAACCCATTTATTTATTTTAAAAAAATAAACCAATAGGCTAATTTCAATAGATTTATTAGTTAATTTTGAATTTATATATGATTATTTTTGTATACATCTAATAACAATTAAGATAAATTACATATTCAATCATCTAATTATTCTCACAATTCTAATTAGTCACTAAATTATTTAAAAAAAACATAATGACCTATGCGTTTTGATTATCTATCCTTAAAAAATTAATAGTAATATTTAGTGATAATGTGACGTTATATTCTGATAACACTCCAACATAGTCATTAAAATTTTAAAGATGCATATGTAATGTTAGATATAATTAAAAAAAAGATAAATTATGTTTTTAGTATTTAAATTATCAATTTTAATATATTTAAATTTTTAATTTTTTAAAATTATATTTAAAATTTATTTTTATTTTATTTTATTTTAGTATTTAAAGTTTTAGTTTTTATTTTATTATTTATTTAAGATTTAATGTTGAGTTTAAAAAATTAAAATTTTAAGTATTAAAATGAATTAAAATAAATAATTTAAATACTAAATGTATTAATTTTTAAATACATGTAATAAAATGAAATTAGATAATAATTTAAAAAAATTAAAATTTAAATATTAAAGTATACCAAAACTGATAATTTAAATAATAAATTAATAATTGTTTTTCAGAAAAAAAAACAGTTTAATAACAAAAATATAACCTCGAAAATAATTGGATAATTAAATATGTAATTTAATCTAACTAAGATCGAAAGCAAAGGAAAATATTGATTTACCTTTTGGTTTACAGAGAGGAGGATCTTCAAAGAGAGACAAGGAGAGTTGTTTATGAGCAACACCAATGTCAAACAAGATAAGCCCAGATTTTGGATCAAAAACGACGATGTCTTTAACAGGCAACCAAAGGAAGAGCTCTTCTTGGCTCAACCCGACAACACCTTTCAAGCTTCCATAGCTCAGGTTGGCCCTCACCACACTGTCGAAGAACACCCTATTCTCGTACTTGGTCAGGCACGGTTCCCCCAAGAAGACCTCGAGTGTTCCGTTGTCGGAAAGCGTGTAGGATTTCACCTCTTTGGGAAGCAGACCTGCTGGTAAGCCTCTCGAAACAAGAAGATCATGGATCGAAGAAGAAGAAGAGGGTAAAAGGAAGGAGAAGATTATGAGGAAATAAAGTTGATGTTTTGTTGAAAATGATCTGGTTTTTATGACAGCACTTCTGGGAACTGCCATGGATGATATATTCGAGCTGTGCATAGAAGGATGGGAAAAAGGAAAAGGGAGAAAAAGTCAGTTAAAAAGGCAAAATGGAAAGGTACTCGGAGGAAACGGGTGTTTAAGCCTGTTAGGGAAGAAGATGGAGAGGTCGAAAAACATTAAAATAGAAAAATGGGTAGATGACAGTTTTGACCTTGGTATGTAACCATTGTTAAAGATATACACGAGACGTATATAACCATTGTTAAAGATATACACGAGACGGATTAAATCGGGTCGGAATATGTAGAGTTTAAGTCTCATGTTTATCCGTAAAGTATATCATTTTTTTTTCATTTAAGTACTTCAAATATTTTTTATCAAAATAAGTACTTAAAGTATTTTTTTATCAAAATAAATATCTAAGTTATTTTCTTTTATCAAAATAGGTATCTAAAGTATTTTATGTCAAAATAGATATCTAAACTACTCAAAAATTTTAATTTAAGTTCTAAAAAAGTTTAAATGTGACATTAATAAAAGAATACTTAAGTATTTACATAAAAAATTAAATATTTCAGGTATTTATTTTGTCTAAAAAAATACTTTAAATACATACTTTAATTAAAAAATAACTTTAAATATTTATTTTGATAGAAAAATATTTTAGGTACTTTAATGAAAAATATAGAATCTATATACATATTTGTTTTATAAGCCTATATAAAATGGTGTAAAAAATGTTCTTACTATTTTAAAAATAGTCACTCTAATATTTTTTTAACATTTTGATATCTGACAATTTATTTTAAGAGAGGGTATATAATGTTTGACCAATAGTCATTTTAGTCCTAATTCTTTTTTAAGTATTTTATTCCTTCAACGTTTTATTTTAAGGTAAAAATATCATTATTTTAGAGTTTTAATAATTTGTTAACTAATAATTTTTATCTATATAAAGGATCTTTTTGTCTAAAAATAAAATACTAAGACTAAAATACTTCAAAAAATAATAGAGATTAAAGTGACTATTTAATCAAATGTTATGATTTTTTTATATTATGAGTCTACAGTGTACGTCATGCATCGGTATAAATTTATAAATAGTCATTAAATTATAGTAAAATATTATTTTTGTTCATTCAACTTTTGAAAAATTATAAAATGAGTATTAAAATTTGTATTTTGTTAAAAATAAGTATTGGCACTTAACCATCGTCAAAGACTAATGTAACATATTAAATTAATAAAAATATCTTATTTGCACCATCAATTGTGACTAAAATTTTGTTTTTGATCTTTTTCAATATTTTTAAGTAATAATTCTAAAAAATAGAACAATTATTTTTTAAATATATGAATTTTTAAATTTTATTTTTGAACATCGTTTAATAAGAAATGATTTCATTTTTTATAACTGAAATGGTTAGACCTCAAAAATTACAAATTATAAATTTTCAAATATAATCTGAATTAAATAGAAAAGTAATTATAAAAAAAATTATGAGTAACAAATTCATATTTTATAAAAATAGAATTATAATTTTATGAATTAAAAGAATAATTATAAAGTTATAATTTTTAAAAAATATTTTATTATTATAAAAATGAATCATAAATTTATATATATTTATTTAAAAATTATTTTTTATAATTTTTACTTCAAAAGATTAAAAAATATCAAAATGAAATTTAGTTTATAATTGAGGGTTCGAATGAGATTTTTTTTATTAATTTAACATGTTACGCTATATTTTTAATGATAATTAAAGATGTAATATTTATTTTGTAATACAATTGAGTGGTCAAATGAGATATTATGTAATTTTTAAAACTTTAATGTTTAAAATAATTATTTTAGTATAGTTTAATGACCATTTAAAAAATTTACCTTACAAAATTAATGGTACATTTCGGTGTGTAGTGTGTATCGTAGAATATTCCTTGCCAATATATATATACACGTAGAAACATTATAGTAATTTATCCTTGAATATAAATAGAACATTATTTATATAATTAGAGAACCCGACAAAGACTTTTTACTTTAAATTTGACTTCGTCCTAATTCTATTTCATAAAATCTATTACGATTCACCTTAAACTAAAAATTTAAGGGAAGCTAACCCTATAGAATCAGATCTAATCCAAATCAATTAATCATGATTAGAAAAAGATATTTCCAGTGGCAGTGTATCATATATGAACTCTTATATTAATAAAATTAATTATGAAAAGAAGCTAAACTAAGACTTGTCATATATTATGGCAACTTAGTGGGTGAGTTTGATAAGCAACATTAGTTTAATCTTAGCACGAATCAAGCACGAATCAAGAGGTTTCCGTGATAAATGAATTGTTGTTATTCCTTAAAAATCTGTGCTTGAGCACCATAAATATCAGGCAAGTAAGCGTTTAATATTAAAAGGTACAGGGTTATTTTTGAACAAATATTATATTGTACTTACCTAAATTAATAAAAACAAATAGTTGAATCTCAGCTTTGATTGATATTTTTTTGATTTTGTGATACTTTTACGTTTTGGTTTGCTTATTGTGGTAAGCTTATAATAAATATGATGTGGTCCATTGGATATGATGTAGTCTACAATTATTTGCATTATTTGGCTTGTCTTTACGTGCATAATTATTTAGTTTGCTGCATAGGAACTGATAAATGGCAATTGTCATGTTCAAGTTTAGGAAAAATAATATAATCATTTCATGAAAATGGAAAATATTTTGGTTAAATTTAATAGGTCATGTAAATATATTTTTATTATAAATTAAAATAAAAAGCAATAAAGTAAATTCATTGTTTGTTTGTTTCTTTTTCATTTAATTTAAATTTTTTTGTTACTTTAAATGGTTTATATTCTCTAATATTCTTACAACCTAAAAGGAAGTGAATTGTGAGGTTAGGCATAAGCAACTAAGGGATGAGCATGATATTCTAATATTGTTATCTTTATATTTTTTTAATTAAGTCCTTATTTGTTGAACCTATTTTGATATAACAATTTTAAGGGCAAAAATATTTTTGGACTAAATTGAATTTATTTAAAGTTTTCAAAAATAATTTTAAGTTCATAAAACTTGAATTTGAACACAAAAATAATTTTTTAGAAAAGAAGTACTAATATTGTTCTTACAATATCGATACCACATGAACAATATTGATAAATAAGGTAAGGGAAATATCAATACTCTCATGGCAGTATCGATACTACCGATTAGTTTTAAATGTGTTCAGATTTCAATAGGCATTTTTAGTATTGATACTCAAAGGAGTGTCGATACTAGTTTTTGTATAGTAGTATCAATAGCATCATTAGCATGACCTCAATACCGATACTCCCAGCCCAACGGTTGAAAAACGACTAGTTTTTATTAGTGCAATATCAATACTCCAAGCCCGAGTACCGATACTCCCTAGTATGAGCAGTTTTATTTTGCAGCAATTAAGTCTCCAATGGTTCCAAAACATCTTCAACAGCTATAAACGATCACAAACACATTCCAACATATAAAATGAAGTTCAAGACACTTGAAGAAGGTTACACACCACCTATCCAAGCATTGATCATTGAAAAGCTTTCATTATTTATTCTTCATTTTCTCTTGTAAATAGTGTGTTTTTAGTGAATTTATTTTGTAAATATATTCCTTTGAGAGATTTCTTGTTTACATTCTTTTTATCCTTTTGAAAAAGGGGTTGGTTTCTAGTTTAGCTATTGAAAACTAGGGAGTTGTAAAAGGTTACTCTTGAGCCTAGAAAAAGAAAGAATAAATTAGTGAATTTGTTAGAAATCTTTAGTGTGAAGGGACCTAATTGTTGGAACCTGGTGTTATTTATTAAAGTAACTAACTAGCTCAATAATGCATATTAGATTTTTATTTATTTTAAAAACCATTGTTTAAAATATATTATTTTTTATTTAGATAAATAAATTATAGCCACCATTGGTATTCTTTATTTTTTTTCTTTGATTTTATTATATGTATCTTTACTTTATTTTATTTCTTTAATTTATAATAATTGTCTTTATGATATGTATTTAATATTTTTTTATTGCTCGTTTGAATTTGATCGTTCTCATCGTTTAATTTTTTCATGGTTGGATTTTAAGTTGCCTCAACTAATCAAGATGATGTTTATTTTTAGTCATGTTAATATGCTTTGCTTTGGACCATCAGATTTGATTTAAATACGATATTTGTATTCGGAGATAATTTTCTCACAATGTTCGACTCTGATTTGTGATTGTCAGTGGTCTTTCAGTAGTTTGATCTCTTGTATTAGTTCATTTGTCGATGCAGTCAAATATATTAGTATCTATATTTTGTTCGGGTTTTTTTGGATAAGTTTTTAACCTTTTCCCTATATGATCACTAGTTTATTGTGTCAATGATTATAAAAAATACCCTAATCATATATTTAATTATAATTTTTATTATAATTTTAAATATTTTTTTTAAATAAGATTAACTGGTTTTATTTGCATGAAATACAACTAATATTAATAAAAAACCGTCTTAATAATTAAATAAAAGATTCCTCAAACTTAGGGTTGTTTGTTTACTTCAGAATAATTAAGCGTTTAATGATTCAAATACTGAATGATTCAGAGGCTCTGTATGAATTAACTCTAAATGTGACATGCTGTTTGATAATGGTTCTGAATCATTCAAAATGTACTTCATTGAGGAAGTTGAATCACTCTAAATACTTGTCCAAATTTTCTATCGTTTCTCGCCATACTCCCAAAATTTTTATTTGGTTAATTCACCTCCTCTTGGTACTTTTTCAGTTGAATAATATAGCATCATAAATTCCAAAATTATATTATCTGATAAAAATAAAATTATATATAATGGATATATATTTTTTTCTTAAAAATCGAGTTGGATTTTAGATCAAGTTGAGCTTTTTTAGGTCGAATTGAATGCCATATGAAATAGTAAAATATGTAGATCAAACTTTTTAATTATATTTATGGGTTTATTTTGAGTTCATTTAACTTAAAAATCCATTCACCATTTTCATAATTAGCTATTTAATTCCCTATTATATCATTGTTTGAAAATATTTTTTTATTAATCTAAATTGCTTACAAATGATAATATTTGTTCTAACGACTTTCAATTGTTTAATAGTGAACGCTTAAATATTCTACAATCTCTAGTGCTCGGACTTGAGATCTCCAAGAATAACAATTATGCATTTACTCACTAAAATAACTTGATTCGTACACCTTTAAAAATGTTATGAGTCATATATTCCGATGCATGATTTTTCTCAAAATTGTTACATATATAGATAGGGGCTTGACTTACATTACTATAAAATTAGATGAATTTTACATAAATTTATAGTTTCTTTCACAATTGTTATTTTAATAATTCAAATGTTGAATTATTAATTTATGTAAATATAAAATAAAAAAATATTTATTTTATGTAAAAGCTAGTCATAAAATATATGTTAATAAATACATTATTTCAGATTGACATGATAGAAATGTCATATTAATTTCAAAATATACATGCCTAATAATAATAATAATAATAAATTCAACCGGATTGGTTTCAAAATTTACGTGCACAATAAATATAAAGATATTCTTAAATCCAACAATTATATTATTAAAATACCCATCATAAAATTTTTATTAAAATGTATATAACTCACTTAATTTTATCCTTATAAAATTAAGAAAATATCTCTTTATTTATATATTTTTTTCATAAATAAAATATAAAACAAATATCGAATTATTTGACTTAAAAACAAAATATAAAAAAGTTTGATCACACAAAGATGGGTCCACTACCAAATTGTTACGTGCACTGGATAGATCAACCACTCTCAATATATCTTATTGACAAGGATGCTGCTTCCAAGGCAAAGCAATGTAATTATCAGCCTTAAATCCTTATTATAGTGATTGATAAACCAGGGTTAGTTAGCCAAGGAAAGGGCAATTTTCACACACACACACATATATATATATATAGAGAAATTATATTAAAAATTTAAGAAGGTAAATTTATAAAATTCTATAAAATAAAAAAATAAAATATTAATAAAAATATTTAAATTATATAAAAATTTAAACTTTTCAAAGAATATGATCGTCTCAGACCATATCAATCCATCTCTAATTGTAAATTTTAATTATATGAGTAATAATTTTTGCCTCCATAATCAATATTCCTTCAAAACAAAGCTTTAATTATTCTTTGATGTTACTAAGTTTATAATATACAGTCATATATTTAAAATTCGAGTGATTCAATATTAGTCGGTAAAAAAATAATCCTTTTTTTATAAAAAAAAATTAAGTCAGGGGACACTCCTCAAATATAAAATCAATGTATACTTAAGATCCAATTAGCCATTAAAAGTAACGGTAATATGATTCGATCTTAACCTTACAAACTAAAATAATTAAATTCCAACCACTTGTACTAACCCTCATTGCAAAAAATAATCTTTTAAGTATATGATTTTTTTTTGTTTATTAATACTATTTTCAAGAATTAAATGTAAATTTATTCTATTATATTTTACCACTATAATTAATATTTATTGGTAAATCATATCATATATATCATATAACTTATTATATTTTATCAAACTGTTAATATTTTTCATTAAGTTCTGGTGATTATAAGTAGTATCTGTTTTAAATATGCTCTTAATCATTTAACAACGAACACTCAATCAACCTGTCACAATCGTTGGTGTTCGAACTCATGACATTTAGAAATAACAATAATTCTTTTAACTACTAAGGTAAATTGATTCGTGCATCAAACTTTGTTAATTTTGTGTTTAATAAAAAAAACTTTGGTAACTTTATGCAGTTCTAAAATTATCAATACAAATATGGAAAAAGAAAATTCTGATGGAAAGGGACAAATGAGATTCTTTATTTTCATTTTTACCACTTGGGGAAATGTGATCGGCAGTTAACGGAACCCAACCAGACATAGTTGTTTATATAGGTTATTATTATTTTTTTATGAAGGGGGGTAATGATTTAGTAACCAGCAAGGGTACCAATTGTAGGTGAGACAGCCGTATGATTTGACACACGTGGCCCACAGGTCACTGGCAACTTGGCATCTCCCGGTTGGTGAGATGATCACGAGGTGTATAGTTGTGTGGAAGAGATGGGTCAGGGCAAAACCGTAATAACGTATTTCATTGGCCCACGTGTTGGCCGTTCTTGTCCACACGCGTGACTTCTTTTCCGTGACCTCATTGTGAGATAGAATCTAACACCACTGTCCACAAGACCAATATCTTATTAAAAATAATATGATTAATTATAAAATAAGTGTTTAAATTATATTATTTTTCTCAAATAAATGTTTAAACTTTTTATAAATCGTTTATGTGTTTAGTGTTATAAACTTTATTATTTTAGGTGTTTGGACCGTATCTATCGTTAAAGGATACATATACATTTTGGTAATTTTAAAAAAAATATTTAAAATTAAAAATTAAAATAAACACAAAAAATTGAAATAATCTCCAAAACTTTGAAAACCATCATTTCAATTCCTAAACTTACGTTGGCCGCATCCTTTTATCGTCGAAGATGACATGGACTACGTTAACGGAGGTGGACGTGACCGGTAAGGGCGACATTATTGGGTTAGGGATTTTGTATTTTTAGGGACTTAGGTCTTTTTTTAATTAATAGAAATTAGAGTTTTTTTATAAATATAATAATTTTTTTTTTTGAAAAAAAATTCAAAATTATTAGAATGTGACATGTGTTACTTAAGAGAGAAAATTAATGACAATCATGACTCAAACACCTAAAGTGGTAAAGTTTGTAACATTAAACAACTGAATGATTATAAAAAAGTTTGGACACCTACTTAGAAAAAGTGATATAATTTAAGTACTTATTTTATAGTTAAGCCAAAATTATATATATATAAATTGATATTTTAGGTTAAAATTGATATTGTTTTATTTAAATTGTACTTAAATTTAGTTTCAAAACTTAAGCTGATACTATAACTTTTGTTGTTCAAACTATAATCGAACTTGACTTTTATCATTGTCATACGAATCCACTACCAATCCTTATCAATCGAGGCCATAGAAGGAACTTCTCTATTAATCGAAATCTCTGGAGTTCCTGAAGTCTCCAGAATTCTATATCTTTCGATTAGTTACAATCTCTTCACATTATTAATCTACAAACCAACATCATAGCTAGAGAAGGAATCATCCCTATCGAACAGGCTCTCTTTCGACTTCTCATCATTTATCGTCCTTTTCAGCTCACCACACTCCATCTCCTCTATAGAACCACCGTTATGACTCTCCGCTCAAATAAGAAGGATGGTAATTTTATCGTACATTTTGACATGTGCTAAAAGATTCCAGCCAAATTCAAAAACCATTTTGGACAATGAAATAGCATACCGAAACTAAGTTTAAGTATCTAATATTATATTAACTCCAAAATTATAATTCGATTAATTCGTGACATCAAATATAATCCAAAACTTCAATTCATGTATTCATGTGAGAACCAAAACTAATACAAATGACCTAAACTTATAGAATGGAGTATGTAGTAACCCTCGAGCATGAGCCGAGTGCTAATCTGCCCTCGAACCATCGATGAACTGTCGACAAAAAGAAAAGCAAGTAGATATTCTGGTACCTTGTCAAGATGGTGGTTCTGACGGACTTGCTGCTTGCTGTGGTCTGAACTGTCCGGCAGGAGGACCCGTCTTTTCGTCTCTCGTATTTTTTGCTTTCATATTTTGATTATTTTCTTGCCTTTGGTTGATAAGTAGGGTATTTGCAGGTTATTATTTCCCATTGATATATTTATCACCTAAAAGTACACCAAACCATATATTATATATATCATATTGAAACAAAAACTTTGCATAATTAAGGATAATTAGCCAAACAAACCTCCTTAATCTTTGCTTTTGACATCTATTTAGGAATCAGGCAGCACCCAAAGAACTCCAGGCAATCCTACATCCAAAACAGTAAAATTCATTCCTGGAGTCGGAGATAAAAGCATCATTTAAACATATGCGATTCAGGTTCGAATGTGAGTGTCATATACGGATATGTGCTCAACATTGTGTATGCTCCATTGCATCGGATGTAGGTTTCAAACACAGGTATTTCAAGTAAAATGAAGAATTAGAGTAACATAGGTCTAAACAAATGAGTAACATAGGGTAAAAGCATACATGTTCTTCTTCGCTTCCTCCCTGCTGCAATAAAAGGGGGGGGGGGAATTCATCTGAGATTTCTTCATTACAATAACTCAATTTTCATACATTCACTGAAATGGTGATTTTTGTACATTGATTTACTACACATTAATCAGATAACATAGGTTCTTAATGATTAAACACATGCATAAAGAAGGTACCTCATTTTGATAACTAAGAAATGATCATCCATGATACATAGCCCGGAACAAGACTGCTGACGACCCAAAATAATGCTACGACATACGAATTCAGGTTCTTGAAACTAACTCACTCTCTCTATCAAAAACCTTTTGAGGTTCTTACAATCTGAGCTGACAAATTCAGGTAAACAAGTACATTGCAAGCCTAACACAAAGATATTCTGTCCTAATTAAAACAAGCCAGATGAATTGCATACTTTTTCCCTTTTCACTGCTTTTTAACTTGCTGATTATGATAAATCAGAATATTTATGAGCAATGCAAAATGTTTAATCTAGTTTCTTCCATTCAATCCAAGGCTCCATCTTTGTTAATCATCTTCAAGCTCAGACAATTGGATATGTTACCATAATAATAAACCTTCACCTCAAACTCAACATAATTAACAAAGGAATCCCTTTTCTATGTTTCAATAAAGAACTAAGGGAAACAAACTAAACTGCCCCATTAATTAAATATTTCTCGGGAAACGAACAACACAGAAAGGGGGAAAAAGTGAACTTTGCAGCACTCCTATACCAAAAAGGGGGCGAAAACCACAAAATCTCACCAAATTTGATATTCCTCCAACAAAACAAAACAAACCCAGAAAAAGAAGCAAAAGTTGCATAAAAAATTCATATTTTCATAATTTTCTACTAGAAAAGAGTGTTAAGATAAGTCTCAATCATCTGTTCTCTTGTAGGAGCAGGGTCTTTAGGGAACTCCATGACAATAAGCCAATGGTTATAATCACAGCCCGGTAACATCGTTTCCCTGGGCTCATTGCTGCTGCTGCTCTTGGGCGAGTAGTCGCTGTCAAGTGCTTCAGCTTTGATAGCACAATGACGAACAGTTGAGGATGAAGGAAAGTGGTGAATCAGTTTGTTTACTCGGATAGTAGGCGGTGGGGTGAGCTGGGAACGAGTTGAAAGAAAGGGTTTTGAAGGTAGAAGGAGAGAAGGGTTTAACAAGGTCGCTCTAACAACCTCATATTGATCATGTAAAATCATAAAACAATTATAAATAAAATACAAGTTCAAAAATATCATTCACATATTACAAATGGAAATAAAATCATACAAACTCCAGACTCAATATATAAAATAATCATATATTACTTATATGCTTATTAATTACACATTGTATCGTACTCTGCAAGCAAACACGAAGGAACTCCCAATATTGAAGTTGATAGTTGCACTGGATCGATTCTTTTAACCTGAAAGGGTGAGTAAAGAGTGAGCTTTGGAAAGCTCAGTAATACAGAACTATCAGATGAATGCAATAGGCCATCGGGTATAAGGTAAAGCATAAAATTTACTTAGATGGACAGTCATTATTAGATTCTAGCAGTGAATTCAGATTCCATTAGCTAAATCTTCAGTTACAAACAAGAATTTACGGTCTAAAGGAAGTATTCAGAGAGAGACAAATTTAGAAATAACCCATAAACTTTGAAAACATTCATTTCAACCCCTAATCCCACGTCAATCGCCACCCTTTACAGTCGAAGAAGCTCCACCCGACCTCCCCTCCCCCAACGATCATAACCCCTATGAAATTATGACCGATTGACGATCAATCGACCACAAATCAACGTTTTACATCTCACGAACCCTAGAACGAAAATCGTGATCCCAAGCGATTTCAATGGTTAATCGACGACAACTAAAACGACATATAACTAGGATGATGTCAAGGAATACGTCGGCAACGGCGATGATGGCCGGAGAAGGTGTCGACGGCATATTAAGATTAGGGTTTAATATTTTGGGTGCCTAAGAGCCACCAATATGTATTTTAGCGGACGCAACATCAAACAAAGAGGAGAACAAACTGCACAATGAAAAACGAAAATGAATGGATCTTGACACCATCAATCCTACAACATTCCCATGACGATCCTTCCAATCACATCACTGATAGCATTGGAAGTTCACAAACTACTGGCTTGCAATTTGCAAAGGAAGAAAATCGATAAGTGAAAGAGGGAATAACAAAGCCTCGCACAAATGACGTGATACCAAAATTAACCTTTCAACTGCAAACTGAAACTTCGCGATGAAACACAATGGTTACGCACCTAAAAATTGTATTGCATCATCAAATTGTAAAATTTTGTCATCTTGCAGACAGTGGTAGCTAAATGAATTCTTGTAGAGATTTTGACAAGCAGGTACAGTCTGCAAAGAAATATTGTAAACTATATAAGAATATGCCATAACTGTAAGCTATAATTTAGATGCCTAAGAGCCACCAATATGTATTTTAGCGGACGCAACATCAAACAAAGAGGAGAACAAACTGCACAATGAAAAACGAAAATGAATGGATCTTGACACCATCAATCGTACAACATTCCCATGACGATCCTTCCAATCACATCACTGATAGCATTGGAAGTTCACAAACTACTGGCTTGCTTAGTTGAACGGTTATGATTTTCAACATCAAAAACATTCTTGTGGGCCTGTGGTAGTGCAAGTCCACAATCCCAATTTTTCCTCAACCCTATTACACTTTACAAAGGAAACCTTATCACAGTAGTTAAAATAAAGTTTGATGCATATATCTATCTCAATTATGATGTATTTGATTCAGTAACATTCAAGGTTTAACACAGTATTAACCATCCACCCTCATCTTCAAACAATCATTATATGCTTACCTACATAAACAAGTGGCAATGTTAATTATCCTATTTTATAATTCAAGATACAAAATCTTACAACTTCAATTTACGACTATTCTACCCTCATTTTCTCCTTTTGAAGGCTAAAGGACCTAAAAGCAACAGAATCGTTCTTACTACTGTTTGACCATCAGATCTTTCAGTTAATTTGAGGCCTCAGTTCGATAAATTGCAGTCATACAACCTGTTCTGGTGTTGCCTCAAATCAATATCACACATTTGATATCAAACTTCTTCCCCCTGTTTCCAAGTTATCATTAATAAACATGGTGTTAGCCTTATTCACAAATAGAAAGCACCAAGGAATGTTCTCCATTATCCCAAGTAAATCCATTGGAGCTGGATAGTACTCCTATTAACTTAACAGTATTCCCAAAGAGGTAACCAATTTTTCATCCACACCCTTAAGCATACAGATAACAATAGGACTTCCATAATTGGTACTACAACTGACAAAGGAATTTTCTAGATCAACAAAGTTACAAGATCTTACTCCTATAGGCTTTGCTTGTTATTAAGTATGGAAAACTTGCTAAACTAATCTTTACCATCAAAATACAGAAATCCCAAAATGCTTTTTCTTCAAATACTTAAAATAGAGAAATCCCATCAAAGTTCTTCAAGTAGCAGCATAAAAACCTCAACATACATAACAAAACCTAATCCAAAAATTTACGCTTTCTTGTTCCAATTAGCAAACAATCATAAGTAAACTTTTCCAAATTATTCTTAATCCCAAAATCCATAAATTTAAATCAGAATAAAACCATAAGCAGATAGTATTAACATCGCAAACAGAAATAACAAAAAAAAAACAGAAATGAGGAGGAAGAAGAAGGAGGTTACATTAAGGACACGAGTAATTCCCTGAGTCTTTAGAAGCTCGGAGCGAGAGGCGTTATCATAGGTACCCAAATAGAGAGTCAGGCAAGATCTCCGATGGGAAAGCACTGACTTGAAGCGATGTCTTGTCGGCAGAGACAGGAGTTCTATGCCCACATATCCCACAAACTTCCCCTTCCTCATACTTGTGATAGTGCCCACAGATCCAACACGGATTCTCCCTCTCCCTCTTCCTCATCCCCACTCACCACCCAAAATCAAACAAGTACGAGTTTTAGACAATACCCAGATCGAGAAAACCAACAAAGCTAAAGACCCAGTCTTTTTCCCTTGGGAGACGAAGAGTTTCAGTGTGAAGCAACGGAAAACGAATGAAAACGACTTACTCTTTTTCAAACGGTAATTTATTTTACCGTGTTTTGCCTGAGTTTTCCTTTGATCGTAAAACAAATTTTTCTTGTTTTACGGGAATCAAATACAGAAAAACTGAAAAATATTTTTCCCAATCAAACGGACTCTTAATAGTCAAAATATTTAATACAATAATACCTATAAACGAGACCATTTTTTATACTTTACCCAAAAATTAAAATCTACAATCAATATTAAAAAAGAAGATATAAAGTTAGCTGAATTGAATTATCATAACATGCCACCCGACTCAACTTTCAAATTTTGGGACCCCATAACATGTAACGTTCCACGTTTGTAGAAGGACAGGTCTGGACTCTAGTTTCTAGGAGGGAAAACTGTCCATAATCAACTTATTAACTGTCTAGTGTTTATTTGGGTGCTTGAACCCTCTTAACATTCCACGCTGCAAAGAATAATCTATCAAGAAAAGTCCATCTAAACAACTTTTGAAAAGTCCCTAATAGTTAATAAAAATCCAATTAAATGTCTAATTTACTCGTCAATAAATAATTTGAAATTATGAAAAAAATTAAAGAATATAAATATTTCAACAAAATATAAAAAAAACCATAGTGTACATGACTACTATGTAGGACTCAATGTCAACACATTAAAATTTTGATATTTTATACAATATTTTTGTTTTAAAAAAAAATAACAAATCGGTTCTTTTTGGGAGATTGATGAACAAATTTTACTCCTTTTGAATGTTTGAGTGCCAAATTTAATTAGAGAAGAATAATAATCAAAATGACTAAAAGTGTAAACTTTGAGTGATAAATTCATCATTATGCCCAAAAAGTAACTTACAATGTGGGGATTAAGTATATAGCTTACCCATTTTTAATCAAATTGTTATAATTTTAATGGAAAATGTAATTACACCGTTAATTTTTTCATGGCACTAACGTAACAACTTGTGCGTTGATTTATATGTATTTAATTGTTGACATTATATTGTGGTATGTAACGAGACTAGCGCATGCCACGTCAGATATTAAACTATATATGGATTTTCATTTTTAACGTTGTGAAAAATATTGATAATTAACCTGATATTTCTATTAAAAATAGGGTAAACTACACTAGATATCATTAAATTTTAGGCGTTGTATCGTTTATACCATTAAACTTTTAATTTTATCAATTATAGCATTGAACTTTAATTTTCATTTCAACTATACCAATGGGTAGTTAAATTGTTAATAATTGGATCGAAAGGATGACGTTTTGATGAGGTGTCTACGTCAACTCCGATCAGCCTTATCATCATGACTTTAACGATTTAACAGTTTAATGATATAATTAAAATGAAAATCAAAGTTCGGTGTTATAAACGATACAATGCCTAAAGTTCAATGGTGTCTGATGTAGTTTACCCCTTAAAATATAATACTATTTTTTTAGATTTTAAGATAAATTCAATTCAAAACAAGAATTAAAATTAAAATAGTGGCAAAGACATAAATATTAAGGATTAAATTTATTATTATAACAAGGTTTGAATATTTGTACCAAGCACGCTCATTCTCGATTGGATGTGGCCTCGTTCATTAAATTCTCAGGCAAGATTTTTTAGCAACTTGCTAATATGAGTAAAGTCTTTTACTTCGCAAAGTCTACAAACATGAAACATTCAATAACACTACAATAATTGAGCATCTCTCATAACTCAAGATTAAAGTGTTCACTCTGCCTCTCTCTCTCTCTCTCTCTCTATTTGATTTTTCTCCATAGGCGGCCATATAGTTTTCTTCCGACATGCTCTTTCATCGACTCGTTTTTGCTTCGATATTCATATCTTCTTGCCTTACAAGGTTAGCAGATGGAGCTACACTTGAAGGAGATGAAGGTAGTATCCAGGGATAAATCAAGAGGGAAACGGGTGGACACATTCGACCCTAAAAATTTTAAATTATTATATCTTTTAGATATTTTTTTTATATTTTCTACTGATAATTTATTTTTATCTCCTAAAATTTTATAATTTCGTTCTCGTTAAAATTTTACAAGTTGGTTTTCTAACATAAGATTTTACCTAATTTACTTGGTTTTTTTTAGTAAATTTCATCCTTTTTTTTCTTTTTTGTAGTGGAAGCTTTGAGAAGCATTGGTGGGACATTGGGGAAGACAGATTGGAAATTTGATGATACTGATCCATGCAGTGGAGTCGGGGGTTGGATAGATGAACCCTTATCTACTTATATTGTTAATAATGTCACATGTGATTGTACCTTCAACAATAACAACACCTGCCACGTCACCCACATGTAAGCATCTCTCTCATTTATCAGTTCATGGATTATGGCTTATTAAGCATCTGACATTTGATTTTATTAGCAGCAAGTGAATAGTTTAGTTTGAATATAAGAGCACCTGTAATTCTAGATTTAATTGGTAAGGAATGATATATTATTTTTTTCTCAGTAAATTTGATTTTATTAAGGTTTAAAAGTACATACCGACACCTAAGTTGCATGTCTCATTAAAAATCTCTCTAATCATATTTAGAAGAAAAGAATACAAAGCAACTAGTGAAACATAACAACACGGCAATTGAATAAAATAGGAAAAACACGTCCGACCATGAACCAACGAAACCGCTAGACCTAACATGTCATCGTATCGTTAAAGATTTAACGGTTTAGTGATATAATTGAAACGAAAATCAAAGTTTAGTACTATAATTGGCAAAATTAAAAGTTCAGTGGTATAAACGATACAACACCTAAAATTCAGTGGTATATATGTAGTTTACCATACTATATTTTAGGTTAATTACTATTTCCATTTTGTTTCGCCATTACATTAGTTGTATATGCAAAAGCAATGTTTTACGTAAAATTAATATTGATTTATAATTAAAAAAGTATCACATAAATTAATGCATTAACGGAAGTAGAAAAGGTGTAGTGAATTTAACACCACACCAACCACTGTTGACTTGATCTGTATAGTTAATGGAACCCATAGCCGACATGCATGTACCGTTTAGTTTAACCGTTTATTTCTTTAGCCTAATCATAATTTTAGCTTTCAAATTTGCAAGTTTAATATCTAAATTTGTAGTTCGTTTTAATACCTAAACTTTAATTTTTTTCAAAATCATATCTAAAGTTTAGTTTTTGTTTAATTTTATTATACGTTTAAAATTTAAAGTTTTTTTTTTAAAAAAATGAAAGTTTAAGTATTAAAACAGACCAAAATTGATAGTTTAGGTACTAAAAGCATTAAGTTTTTAACGGTCGGGTACTAAAATGAAACAAAAACTAAACATTAGGTATGATTTTAAAAAATAAAAAATTTAGATACAAAAACAGATTAAAATTGATAGTTTAAATATAAAATGTATATTTACTCTAATTTTTTATCTGTTTTGATTTTTAATTTTTTTAAAAATTGAATTAACTTAATTAATGACAAACAATAATACATTTGTTACATTGGTGTATGCTATTTTTTATTATTGAATTAAATAGAAGAAAAATGATAGAGTAATTGTCATACACGGGAGTAAATCACTAATGTGACACACCAAATTACATCACTAAATACATTATCCTTACAATTAGAATATTAAAAATTTCAAAGACCTTGTCGTGATTAATCTCTTATAAAAGTTTAATTTTAATTCTAATATAATTATAATTATAATTAAATCATTTATTTTTATTAAAAATCATGATTAATCTAAGAGAATATTCTACAATGCTCGATGAGTACCGTTGAGCATCACTAACGATGAGCACTGCTAAGTACCATTAATTTAATTTATAAAAATTTAAAAATATAAAGGACTCAACGTATAATTATAAATCAATAAAAAATATAAAGGTAAATTATTTAAACAAGAAAAAATACTTAGAGTTTTTTTAATTTAAAAGTTGATATTTGATCCAATTATTGTTAAAAAAGATTATGAAAAATAATGTAATTAATATTTTATTTTAAATAAATTACCTTTAAATTTTTAACTAATTTATAAGTATATATTGAGTCCTTTAGAAATTTAAATTTTATAAATTAAATTAATGGTGTTCAAAGATGCTTGTCGTTAGTGGTACTCAGAGGTGCTCGTCGAGCGTGGCAGACTCATCCTAATATAATAATTTAATTTAATTATACTTATAAATTGGAGATAAATGCATATTTAAATATGTTCAAACATAAGTTTTCTAAAAATGTTGTAATAATGCAAGAATCAAGTTACCTCAGTGAATTGATTAAGTGGATGATTGTTATTCCTACAGGTTATAGGTTAGAGCACCATAAACTGCAAGGAGATTAATTGTGTTTGACTTAATAGTTTATTTTGGTATGACTATTGATGCCTAAAATGATGTCATTTTTTGTACTAAACTTTAGCGGTGTATCGAATTTTTTCACTAAACTTTTAAATAATTCCATTTTTGGTACTCTACTTCTTCGAACACCGTCAGCAACCAATCATCGCTAGTCATTGCTTGTCTTTCACGACATGATCATTGAGACCAAAACATTCGTATTTCACTCATCTTTCTTATCTTAAGATTTGTTTTCCATAAAACCAACTCCAAATAGACAAAGTAAACAAAAAAATTATCATCTTTTAGGGCTTTAGGGACTTTATTAGATTTGAGAGAATTGGGGACTCATAATAGCCAATATGAACACTGAAAAACATTATTACAAGAAAATGAACAATATATATCAAAACTAGATTCATTGTACGATCATCGAAAGAGATCAAAATATAGCACATCAAACTTTTAAATGGTTTTTCGTTGCTTTCGAGTGAGTTTCGTGGAAAATTAATCATAGGAGAAGAAACAGGAGTGGCAGGTAAATGTTTTGGTGCTCATTTTGTCGCGAGAGCGACATATATTGATTGAATGTCGATGACGATTGAAAAGTATAGTGTTAAAAATGGAATTGTTTAAAAATTCAGTGACAAAATTGATACACAACTAAAGTTTAATGTCTAAAACGACGTCATTCTGAGCATCAATAGTCATTGTCAAAATGATGATGTTCTGGCGACATCACCATAGTGATAGAATGATTTATCCACGTCATTGCACCATTAAAAACGGTCTAGTGACATAATTGAAGTTATAATCAGAGTTCAGTATTATAGTTGGATAAACTGAAAGTTCAGCGGTATAAATGATACACGGTCTAAAATTAGGTAGTATGTGATGTAATTTATCCTATTTTTTCTCTAAGTCTTTTATCGGTGTAAGAAATTATCAATTTCACACATAATACCAAACCGAATCAGTTGGTCTAGTAGGATGAGATACTAGGTCTCTTAAACAAAAGGTCAGGGGTTCGAATTTTGACATTTACGAATAGAGAAAATTGGGTTGGGAGCGTCGCCCTTGCCTCTGCAGTACCCGATCTAAATTAGTCGATTGATGGATCTGAAATTGGTGATTAATTCAAAAAAAAAAATTCTAACTTTCATTGATTGATCCGATTTCTCCATGTATATCAGACGGCTGAAGACACAAAATCTCTCAGGTACACTCCCAACAGACTTGGCCAGTCTCCCTTTCCTGCAAGAAATGTAAGAATGATGTTTCCAAACTTCTTTTACATTATATATATATATATAATATATATATATATATATATGATGTACACAATATAAAACTCTTTAGTTTTACATGAATTTAAGATCGTTGGAAGTGAAAATAGATGACTGAGACAGTAGGAAATGTGAGGATATTCACTGAAAATAAAAAAATAAGAAGTCAATGTCAACTACCTATTTTTATTCATCCAATGATTCTAAATATGTGAAAAATTAAGAAGTTTTATATTGTGAAAGTGAATCGCATATATATATATATATATATATATATATATCTTAATTTTATGTCAACTAACTAACTCTTCTTGTTTTAAACTATTCTTACAGTGACCTAAGTCGCAACTATCTCAGTGGCAACATTCCCACTCAGTGGGGTTCAGCTTCGAGACTCGTCAAAATGTATGTTTCTTTTCTACTTGTGTATATATGAACACGTATGTATATGTTATATATATATATAAATGTTGTTGCTACATGGAAAAGACGTGTGGTGTTTCAGTGCCCTTCTTGGAAATCGATTAACTGGTGCAGTCCCAGCAGCGCTAGCAAATCTCAGCAGTCTTACCAGCTTGTGAGTTGGACTACACCATTTTCTACTAATATATGTCCTCAGTTCATGTCATGACAAATTTCTATACGATTCTTTTTATGAATGTCTAATGGATAATTAATTTTATTTATTGGAGAACTGTGTAGAGTCCTTGAGGCCAATCGTTTGTCAGGAAATTTGCCTCAGGCATTGGGGAATCTATCCAAACTTGAGAGATTGTAAGATGGATCCTTTTCTTTTAATAATATTCCAGCTGAACTTCATTTCTGTTTATTCAGTATGATCTGTTTACTGGTTTTTACAGGATTCTCAGTTCCAACAATTTTACTGGAGAAATACCTGAAACATATGCTAGGCTGACTTCGTTGGAGGATTTGTAAGCACTTCTAATGTTCTTTTCCACCAACTTATTCGATATCAGATTCTAATGTTTCGTTTTGCAACAGTCGTATCAGCGACAACAACTTCACGGGACGGATTCCCGAGTTTATGTTCAGGAACTGGAGAAATCTTACTCGGATGTGAGGACTAAATCAACATTATTGGATTTGTTTTTAAATTTCATTGGAGATATTTTGTTTTATCAATCAATTAAATGGATCCATCTTTTGTATAATGACAGAATCTTGGAGGCAAGTGGTTTGAGTGGTCCAATTCCATCCATTAATGCTACTCTGGAAAACTTAGAATACATGTAAGCATCAATTGTTGTAGATTTGTGACTTGAACGGATCTGAAGCAGCATTGCCTCGTTTATGATTGTATCTGAATTGGTTCACAGAACAATTAGTGACTTGAACGGAGCCGATGCAGAATTTCCTCGACTAGATGCCGATCTGCCTAGTTTGGATAGAGTGTAAGCATATCCGTTCAGCAAGGGAATGATATGCTATACTGATTAGCTCCAAATTTGATGCAATATGTTATTGATTGAATTACAGGATGTTGAGGAGCTGCAATCTCATTGGGGAGATACCTCCTTCTCTCGCGAGATTCAGAACGATAAAGATCTTGTAAGTGTTAGGCTTTCTTTTCGAGAGGTCCGACATGTTTGTGATTCGAATCTCGACATTTATACGATGCCTCCCTTATGGAAAGAAACTGTTTTAATTTCTAACTTGTCTTGGAACATAATGTTCTTGCAGAGATCTCAGCTTCAACAGCCTCAGCGGAATAATCCCAGATCTTTCTGGTCTTAATTTGGATACATTGTAAGTAAATGGAATTTTTTTTCACATGTTCATATTTGTATACACCTAATGATTTCTTTTACTAGGTTCTTAAATGGAAACAATTTTACTGGAGCAGTCCCTCAATGGATACTGGAAACAAGAGAAGAAATGTATGATTCTCTTCTTAGTTGATCTTGAATAACATGAACATAAATAACCATTAAATGAAAATCACATTCTGAAGTAATCTATTTACAGGGATGTTTCATATAACAACTTCACTAGCACAGGTGGTGTATCAAACTGTGGAAGTCCAACACTGTACGACATCTTTCGATTCGAACAGTTGTTTAATTTACGTGTTCGAATATTTATTTCAAATATCTATCATTTTTGTATAATTTTCCATTCCATGTCTATATGTAGGAACTTGTTTTCAAGCATTCCAAGAACCGATAACTCGTAAGTACTGTTTTCAAGCATTTCATTGTCTTCGGTCGACAACAAATTTGGGGTTATAATGGCTAATTTATGTGTCTGGGTCATATGATTGTTTTACCAGAGGAATCGTTCCATGTTTGAGAAGTCAGATTAACTGCTCAAAACGTAAGCAGAAATTTCATATATATACTTCTTTTCCATGCTAGATATTCATAATGGCTTGTCACACTTAATTTATGTTACTATATATAGGATAAATTACATTCTTAATCACTTAACTATAGGCGGATTCGTGACTATTGATATTTTAATTTTATCAATTAAATCATTTAATTATTAGATAATGTCAATCAAAGTATATGTCGTTAAAATTTGTGGCAGTTAACAAAATCGGTATAATTATACATCCTATTAATTTGATAAAAAATGTAATAAGAAAATTGAACTAAAGTCTTAGTGTGTTAGAATGGTAAAAGGAAGGTTATTTTTCTTAAATGTTACTAGTTTGAGTAGTTGTGTCAATAGGGTATATATATATTATTAATAGATTAAGAAAAAAATAAATAAAGAATATATTGTAATCACCATATACTATTAAAAAAAGAGAGTGAAAAAATAGTAATCATTTACCACTAGATTAACTCCAATATTTATTGTGAATTTCAACATATCATTTATTTCACATATCATAATTGATATAAAAAATAGAAATAAAAGTGACCGATATATCAAATATTATATTTATTATATAAAATCAATATATCTATTACATTAAAATAGTATACTTATATTGTTAAAAAATAAATTAATATTAATAAAAAAATATTTCAATTAAACGGTGATATTAAATTAAATAAATTAATATTAATAAAAAAATCTTTTAATCATGTTATGACACATTTCATAATGTGTCCTTGTTTAATTAGAAGATCAGATTTATTGAATTAATTTAAAATTATGATTAAATTGATAAAATGAATAAATAGTGAAACTAAATATAAAATTATATCAATTTTGTTAGTTGTTACATTAAATAATATGTCAAATTAAGTAGTCATTGTAGTTTACCCTAATATATCAATTATATTTAATGTAATAACCAATTTATAAATCTAGGTACTATTAAAGAATCAAAGATCTGATTATTATTTTATAAATAAATTTTGTTAAATATATTATTTTATATAAAATATTTTATTTAAAAATTATTAAAAATTATTTATTTTATTTTATGTGTCATATAGTACTTTATATTATTTTTTTTTAAACTTTGGTGAGTGACTGATTCAAACTGTTGTATTCCTCAGCTTTGCACTCTGTTCATATAAACTGTGGAGGGGGAAATATAACTGTTGATGGCATCAATTATGAAGCTGATTTGACTATAACCCAGAGTTCGACATTTCACCGGTCGGGTACCAATTGGGCATTTAGCAGCACCGGAATTTTTCTGAACGATAATAAAAACAATGACATTTTGTATCTCCAGAGTAGACAGCTTTCTGTAAATGGTGGCGATGCACGTTACATAGATGCAAGGCTTTCTCCTAGCTCTCTGACTTACTATGCATTTTGTCTCGCCAATGCAAATTACACAGTACAACTCTACTTTGCGGAGATTATGTTCACTAATGATCAAAGTTATACCAACTTAGGGAAGCGGATCTTTGATGTTTACATTCAGGTATACATAGTGTATATATTTATCCTTCAAAAGTTGCATTCAATGAAGTATGAACGAGATTCAAATCTCGAAATCTGTAATCGTATTCTCGATAGCATAGTTTTAAGACATGTGCTTGCATGGGAAGGGTTAAATGGAATGGATAATAATTGCAGGGACAGCGGGTGCTGAAGGATTTCAATATTCAAGAAGCAGCAGGAGGGGCAGGCGTACCAAAAGTAATGCCTTTTGCTGTAAATGTGACTCATGGCACGTTGGAGATCCATCTCCGATGGGCCGGAAAAGGCACGACTTCTATTCCCGTGAGAAGCGTTTACGGTCCCCTTATCTCTGCAATATCTATTTTCGATCCTGGTAGGATGTCAAATGTTAAGATTTGTATCTTAGGTCGTCTCTTATAAGTTGTTTTTACTAATCTTTGCGACTTGACTTGTTTACGGTGTTGTTGAACCAGATTATGCACCTCCATCAGAAATCGACGGTGGTATCTCGACAGCTGCGGTGGTTGGTATAGCGGTGGCCGGAGTTGTGTTTGCTGCTTTTCTGATTGTGGGCATCGTTTGGTGGACGGGTCTTTTGAGACGGAAGAGTACATTGGAACGAGGTATTTAGACAGGAAAATCAATGTCATGCTAAAACCATAGTAATCAGGGATTTAAACAATGGTTGCACCATCTTATTTTTCGGGTTTTCAACCTTGTTCCATTGGTATTCATCACATCTGATCACAGTATCATGTGCCATTCCTTTTCTTCTCACCATTTTGGCACGAAATAAGGGACATAATTAAGCAATTTTCATAATTCCATTTCAGACAATTGATATCATAGATGTTTCTTATTTGGCTTAACTTTCTTCCACAGATCTAAAAGGTATAGAATTGCAGACAAATTCCTTCAGCTTAAGGCAAATTAAAGCTGCTACAGACGATTTTCATGCTTCTAATAAGATCGGAGAAGGCGGTTTCGGTCCTGTTTACAAGGTACCATGTGCAACACATTCTTTCCTTATAATTGCAACACTTTCTGCAGTTACATTGTTCTTGTTTTTGAACCTGCAAATCATAGTTTCTTTTTTTTCATTTCAAATGTAGGGCATTCTGGCAGATGGCACTGTGATTGCTGTGAAGCAGTTATCGACCCGATCAAAGCAAGGAAACCGTGAGTTCGTGACCGAGATGGGCATGATTTCAGCTCTTCAACACCCTCATCTTGTAAAGCTATATGGATGCTGTATAGAAGGAAATCAATTGATGCTTATATACGAGTACCTGGAAAACAACTGCCTTGCTCGTGCATTATTCGGTACAATCTCATCCAAATCATTCTATTCTTCGAACCTAAAATTATATGTTCTAACATGAATGATCGTATGCCAATATGTATGTATGTATGCATGCATGTATGCATCTGAACTTCTCTGTATTTTTTGGTGACGAAAAGGGCCACCAGAATTTCAGTTGAAAATAGACTGGGCAACAAGAAAAAAGATCTGCATTGGTATAGCAAGAGGATTAGCTTATCTCCATGAAGAATCAAGGTTGAAGATAGTTCATAGAGACATCAAGGCCACCAATGTCTTGCTTGACAAGAATCTGAACCCGAAAATATCCGACTTCGGTTTGGCCAAGCTTCATGAAGAAGATAATACCCACATTAGCACCCGAATTGCAGGAACTTAGTAAGTCACTTTTCAGATTCATTCTCACTGTATTCATTTATTAATCCTCATGTACATAAATGTTCATGCCATTCTATAAATGGCTGGTTCAGAAAAAAAAGTTAAAAGCTTTATTCAATTGTTGTTGTTAAATTTGCAGTGGGTATATGGCTCCTGAATACGCAATGCATGGTCGTTTGACAGAGAAAGCGGATGTTTATAGTTTTGGGATTGTGGCCCTTGAAATCGTTAGCGGTAGGTGCAACACTAGAAACCGGCTAATGGAAGAACCTTTCTATCTCCTTGATTGGGTAAATTAATCTCTCATTCTTTTTTTCATTGTTTATGCAATTTTTTTTGCCCTCTCGATTTTCAAGGCTTCGTCTTAATTAATCCGGACCGACCCGAATCGTACACTTGATTTTGGCGGGTGAGTCTCCCGACATGAATTTTTTTTACATACACAATGATTCAAATTATTTATATATTTCTATATCTAATATTGATTAGTAACTGATCTAGAATTACTTTTTAGGATTTTTTTTGAAAGAGGGTACTTTGTATTAAGAAATAACAAAGTACACCACCTCAAGGACCTCATTAAAAAACTCCCTAATCCTTAATGGAGGAAAAAGAGTGTACCTTAAGGTGGTCATGATCAAATACACATAACACCTACCACAAGCCCCAATCCAACACATATAACAAACACAGGCAAGCCGACAACATACATAGAACACACTGACTAACATATACAAACAACAAAGCCAATGGTAAGAACCTAATGGCACTACTAAAACACCAGGACAAACCCAACATACTAAGCTTGGCTCAAACCATATTAAATAACGTTGCTTTTTGCCAAAAGTGGGAGCACCACCCATGCCTCTCATGCTATCACTACAACCAAACAAAACCACCCATACTTCCACTTACTCACCACTCCCTGCTCCACTCTAATGTCCATACCATGTTCACCCTAAACCAATAAAAATCCTTGAAGCAAGCAAAGAGCTACCAATCACCCAACAACCACCTTAAATCCACCAAAAGGATCAACATGCGGGAATCTGCATGTCAGAACACCAACTTCACGCCTCTTACTACGTGTAACATTGAAACTTTCTACATTAAGGACAACCTCGAAACCAGCAACTACAACAAAAACCACCTGCAACCAAGGAAACCTATCATCACCGTCTACTGCTGTATTCACCGCTCCACCACCGGTCAAAGAGCCATCCAATGAACACTCTTTCTTCTTCATGAACCACCAAAAGAGATTTGAAGGAAACACCCTACCATTAAAGATAACAGAACATTACTCTGGTACCACCGAAGCACACTGCACATCCAGAAGCAATCTGGCTTCATCAGAATGAATTCTATTTCTTGTTTCTTTATGGATTGAAAGAAACGACCCCCACAAAGATCCAGAACAAACTGAACTGCTGAAACGCACACGAAAAACTAACATAGTGAACAACTGAATAACACATAGAAAAATGACATAGCAACGTGCTGAAGAACATAACCCAAACCATAGAACACTAAGTAAGAGTTTGCCTTGAAGGAGCAGGTATTTCGAACCAAGAAGCTTGATTCCCCCAAAAGAAGTTGAGAAAAAATCCATCACCCAGAATAAAACCTATATCTTTTGTACTTTGATCACGTCTTCCCCATCTCTAGCAAAATGCACGTCTTTTAGCCTATTTGGATCTGCGCTTCTCCTTGCTTCGTTGGATTGATGAAATGATGACATGCTTTGAAGAGCATGGAACGGACATGCGATGAAAAGAAAAGAGAGTGGGAACAAAGATGGCGAAGGAGGAGATTACCAAACAAAGGAACACTAACAAAGCTGTTTTGTTATGGCTTAGCCTAGTTGAAAGGAGAGAGTCGGCCATGAAGTTCCAGCCCAATAATCTGTGTCGATGTCTGGGACCGCCGCCCTTGTTGCTTCACTCGTTTGCTTTCTTTAGATTATGTCAAATATAATTGGAGTCTACTTTTTAGGATTACTATATATATATATATATATTAACAATATTTTTTTATATGTAAGGTAAGCGAAGTATCAATAAAATTTTAAGATACACACAATAAAAGAATAAAAAACTATTAGGGGAAAAAAATCAGATTTCAGGCACACAAACGTGGCTCCATCAGGGTCGAATTTACGTGGGAGGTGGGAGGGACAATTGCCCCAACATTGATAGTTTAATTAGTTTTAGGACTTTAATATTTTTAAAATCATTACAATTAAGTTATTGTCCTTCTCAAAATTTACTAGTTTAATTATAGGGTAAACTACGAATTTAGTACTTAAACTATTAGTTTTGATCGTTTTAGTATCTAAACTTTCAATTTGTTTCAAAATCATAATTAACATTTAGTTTTCATTTCATTTTAGTACCTTAGGTTAAAAATGTAACACATTTACTACCTAAACTATCAGTTGTGGTCCGTTTTAATATCTAAACTTTCAATTTTTCAAAACTTAACGTTGAATTTTGAATGGATGTACTAAAATGAAACAAAAACTAAAATTTTTAATGTCTGGGTACTAAAATGAAACAAAAACTGAACTTTAGCTATTTTTGAAAAAATTAAAAATTTAGGTACTTAAACGAATGAAAATGATAGTTTAGGTACTAAACATGTAATTTACCTTTAATTATATTTTAGTATCCTTCATTTTAAAATGATATTTCGACTTCTAATTTTTATAGTTTAATTATTCTTTAAGACCATTCAATTTTAAAATTAATGAAATTACATCCTATCCCCTTTAAATTGTATGATTTATTCAATTTTAAGGGCTTATTTATTTTAAAATTAAACAATTTGTCCACTCATAGTTCAATCTTAACTCTGTCCATGAGCTCCGCCATCGACACTGACATCCATACTTGAAAATCATAGACATGCTTCTAATTAAATGGTGTTTTTCTAGGCTCATGTTTTGAGGGAGAACGGGAACTTGTTGGACCTCGTCGATCCAAGGATCGGGTCAGACTGCAACATAGATGAAGTGATGACGATGATCAATATTGCTCTCTTATGCACGAATCCAACAGCTTCGGCTAGACCTACAATGTCTTCCGTGGTGAGCGTGCTCGAAGGTAAGGCTTCAGTCGAGGAATTCTTCATATATTCAAGCGTTTCTTCAGGTCGTCAAATGGACGCTGAGACTGTAAAAATGCTGTATCAGAAACTTGAAGAAGATGATACAGATGTTACCGAAACAAATAGCCTGCAATAACAATGATATCCGCTAGTTACCACCACAACCGGGGACAGAATTATTAAGGGCATGGGAGGGGCTGTGCCGCTGTGGCCTACCAAGCCAGCAATTTTCTTTTACATTTGATTTATATATAAAGTACACAAATGATCCCTTGGCTATATAGTATTGTTTTATTAACTATTTAAACTATTAAAAGTTATAAAATGGTCATCTGACTATGGAGTGTTACTTTGTTGAGTCATTTGACTATTAAAAGTTACAAAATGACCATCAGACTATTCATTATGTTCTAAGCTCATCATTTTTCGTTAAAAATTGACTTTATTCTGAGTTGAACTTTAACTTATTGACTATAATAGGATAAAATATGATTCCGAAATCTCAAACAACTATCATATCTTAGTCATTACGCTAACATCTGACTTAGACAACCGCTATTTTTTAAATGGAAAAAGATGACTTAGGAACATAATGCATAGTCAGGTGACTATTATGTAACTTTCAATAGTTGAGGAACTTAATAAAGTAACATTCTATAGTCGGAAGAGTATTTTATAATTTTTAATAGTTGAAGGGACCTAATAAAATAGTACCCTATAGTTGGAGACCATTTGTGTACTTTACCCAAAATTTAATATTTATGAGATAATTATGAAATTGTTCTCTTTAATTTTATAGAATTTATATTTTGCCTCCTTCATATTGAAATCCTCACTCTGTCCCTAATCATAACCACTATGAACACACCTGTCGAAGGTTTTCGAACCCCCTAAGCATTATTTTGTCTAAAGCAAAAATAAACTGTTAATTATCTTTATTTTCAGTTCTTAAAAAATCGTTTTTGCATATGTATAAAATCTTTTTTAATTCTAAACTTGACTTATTTTTTCAGGGCAACCAAACTCTCCAATTAACTGCTTCAATGTAATTGAACGTATAACTCCAACCAACAAACCATTTACTTGCAATATCTACAGCTTTAACTTCTTGAACTCTAGTCTCTAGGTGTGGGGAAAAAATAGGCTTAAATGCACCATTATCCCCTAAAATATATTATTTGTATTGAGTTGTCTCAAAAATATTTTTCGGGACGTTTTGCCCTTAAAATTTAAATCATTATCTCGTTTGTCTCAAATCGAGTATAATTAAATATTTAGTTATTCAACTATTTCCACAATTCCAATTTATCACCCAACTATTTCTTTTTTCTAAAATCATCACTAAAAATAGTCATCTATTATAACGCAAGATGAGCCTTTTATGAATGCAGTTTCCCTTCAATACTGCAAGTTCTTGATGGCTACTTACCGCCAACATGCATTGAAAGAGAGTTTTTTTTTTCAACAATGGAGTAGCCATACTTTTTTATATTGTTTATGGAAGAAGCAACCAGTTCGAGTATATGTTTGACTCCAATGGCTTGACCTTGTGATCCAACCATTACTGGCTTGCTGCAAGGCAAGGTGTCAAGTATCCAGATCCTACAGAAGAAAGAAAAAAAAGGATCTTACAGTTGAAGGATCACAAAAATATGTGGAACGTTGATGTTAAACATAGAGAATTCAAGGAAAATGAAGAGCCAAAAGAAATAACAGAAAAAAAAACACGATAAGTGAAAATTGTAGAGTTACAAGAGGACCTGAGCCAACGTCCAAAGCATGCATGTCAGGCTGCAACTTTTCCTCAATAATTGAAGGCGGGTAGCATGTATATAAGCGGTATATATTATCTATAATGTGCCAACCACCAATATCTTAATATTTTTCTTCAATCCCCAGACTATAAAGTGCCCAAAATACATAAAAAATAAGTGGGGAAAAAAATCCAACTGAAGCTGCTATAGTGATACAAGTTCATAATTTCTGAAAACCCCAAAACTGAACGATCGCATCAAACAAAGATGTCAAAATTAATAGGGTAAACTACACGGGTGATCACTCTACTATAGATAAAAATCATTTTAACCATCGATGTTTCGATTCAATTAATCAGACCACCAAACTATTTAAATGCTTCAATCAAGGCACCCTCCGTTAATATTTAACGGAGTAGGTGACATGGTAGTTAAAACATTATGGTATAATTATGTTATCAATTCATGTTATTTTATATATTCTTTTAATTTGATATTAATTTTAATAAATTAAAATAAATTTATTTTCTTCTAATCAGAGGGTGACACGTGTTGTTGAAATGTCAAAAGTAACATGGGCAGCTGGGGCTGCTAAAATTTTAGGATATTTACAAGATTAGTCCTTAAGCTTCAACTATAAATACCCTATCCCATTTAGCTTCAAAACCATCTCAAATCATTCTAGCTTTCTCCCAATACTAGAGAATTTAGAGAGTTTTCTTGAGAGTTGTTTTCTCCTTTTTATCAAGAGAGAATTATCATTGTTTTCTCCTTGGTGGATCGAGAGAAGTTGTAATTCCTATTTTCTTATAGTGAAATTCTTCTATCATTGCCCGTGGTTTTTACCCTATATTATTTAGGGGTTTTCCACGTAAATTTTATGTCTTTTTTATCTTTATCTTTATTTTCTCAAATTATCATTTGCGATTTTGCTCTATCCGATAGCCGTCTTTCGCAACAATTGGTATCCGAGCCAGATTTGAGTGTGTAATATCTGCTTATTGTCTTTGTGGTTGCCACCAAAAGGTGGATCCTCCAACATAAGAAAGTAATAAGGTATTATCCATTCTTTGAAGGTTTCAGAGAACTATTCACGATAGTGAAATAGTGGGAGCTATCCGTAATAGGAGCTATCCGTAATAGAAGATATGTCAACGAAGTTTGATATTGAAAAATTCAATGAGAGAAATTTCTCATTATGGAAATTGAAGATGAAGGCTATCTTAAGGAAAAACGGTTGTCTAGCAGCTATTAGTGAAATGCCGGTAGATTTCACAGATGACAACAAATGAATCGAAATGGACGGGAATGCTATGGAAAACTTTCATCTAGCATTAACAGATGAAATATTGTCAAGCATCGAGGAGAAGAAGACAACTAAGAAGATATGAGATCATCTCACCAAACTGTACGAGGCCACATCGTTGCACAATAAAATTTTCCTTAAGAGGAAATTGTACACTCTTCGTATGTCAGAATCTACTTCAGTGACGGAGCACTTAAACACACTGAACACATTATTTTCTAAGCTTACATCCTTTAGCTGTAAAATAGGAGAACAAGAACGTGTTGAACTTCTACTTCAAAGTCTATCAGATTCGTATGATCAACTCATCATCAACTTGATAAACAGTAATGTCACCAGTCTAGTCTTCGATGACGTTGCAGCTGTTGTTCTACAAGAAGAAAATTGGCGCAAGAACAAGGAAGACAGACAAGTAAATCTGCAACAAACAGAAGCATTGACAACGATGAGAGGGAGATTAACAGAACATGGCCAGTCACAAATATGGTAGATCGAAGTCGAGAAGCAAGAAGAATTTAAAGTGCTACAACTGTGGAAAGAAGAGTTACTTGAAGAAGGATTGTTGGAGTCTAAATAAAAACTCCAATCCACAAGGTAATACCGCAAACACTTCATATTATGGAGATGCTCTATGTTGTGAAGCGTCAACCACCGTGAAGGCAGAAAAAGATTTGCAGATATATGGCTCATTGATTCGGGAGCAACATATCACATGACCTTAAGAAGAGAATGGTTCCATCATTATGAACCTGTCTCAGGAGGATCTGTGTATAGTTGCAATGATCATTCCTTAGAGATCATTGGCATTGGAACCATCAAATTGAAGATGTATGATGGAACAATTAAAGTTGTTCGAGATTTGCGGCACGTGAAAGGCCTGAAACACAGAAAGCAATCATGAAGGTGTTCCGTGGAGCGCTTGTGGTGATAAAAGGTGAAAAGATAGCAACAAACTTGTACATGCTAAAGGGAGAGACTTTGTTAGAAGAAGAAGCCTCTGTTGCCTCATGCAGTTAAGATTCTGCAATGCTATGGCATCAGAAACTTGGACATATGTCAGAACAAGGAATGAAAGTCCTTGTGGAGCAAAAACTACTTCCAGGCTTAACAAAGGTATCACTTACTTTGTGTGAGCATTGTATAACAAGTAAGCAACACCGGTTGAAATTCAACACGTCAAATTCTAGAGGCAAAAGTGTTCTAGAATTGGTTCATTTTGACGTATGATAAACACCAGTTACATCTCTAGGTGGAACAAAATACTTTGGCTCATTTATTGATGACTACTCCAGGAGATGTTGGGTGTACCCTATTAATAATAAGTCATATGTGTTTTCCAATTTCAAAAACTTCAAAGCACGGGTGGAACTTGATTCTGGAAATAAGATCAAGTGTTTCAAAACATATAATGGAGAAGAATACACAAGTGAATAATTTGATGACTTTTGCAGGAAAGAAGACATCAAAAAATAGTTCACAATGGCGAACACTCCTCAACAAAATGGAATGACAGAGTTGATGAACAGAGCCTTGTTAGAAAGAACAAGAGCAATGTTGAGAGCTGCAGACCTAGAAAAATCATTTTGGGCAAAAGCAGTTAATACCTCCTGTTATTTGGTGAATCGAGCTCCATCAACTGCAATAGAGATGAAGACACCAATGAAGATGTGGACTGGTAAACCAGCTAATTATTCAAACCTTCATGTATTTGGAAGTATTGTGTAAGTAATGTACAACTCCCAAGAAATTTCAAAGCTAGATATAAAATCCAGGAAATGCAAATTATTGGGGTATGTTGATGGAGTAAAGGGGTATCGCTTGTGGGATCTCATTGCCCGCAAAGTGATCATTAGCAGGAATGATATCTTTGTAGAAGATAAGTTACAAAGAAAAGAAGAAGATGATAGTGTTGAAAAGTCAGAGACTACACAAATACATGTAGAAAATGAGGTTGAACAAGGAGATTCTTCTGAAGCAGAATTAACACATGATGAACAAGAACCAGAGAGTTCTGAAGCTCCAACAGCTCGTCAAACAGATTGTGTTAGAATACGTCCCAATTGGCACTCAAATTATATTGTAGAAGGAAATATTGCATACTGCCTTTTAACAGAGGACAATGAGTCATCAACATACCAAGAGGCAATAAACATTTCAGATGCTTCATTGTGGATGATGACGATGCAAGAAGAAATCGAAGCCCTTCATAAAAATAATACATGAGACCTTGTGCCACTACCACAAGGAAGGAAGCCAATTGGTAACAAATGTATATTCAAAATCAAGCGAAATAGTGACGATCAAGTGAAGAGGTATCGTGCAAGACTGGTGGTCAAATGATATGTTAAAAAAGAAGGTATTGATTTCAATGAAATAATTTCTCCTGTGGTTCGGCTAACAACAATTCGAGTAGTTTTGACAATGTGTGCTATATTGAACTTACATCTAGAGCAGCTAGATGTTAAAACAACTTTTCTTCATGGAAATCTTAAAGAAGAGATTTACATACTCCAGCCTGAAGGTTTTGAAGAAAAAGAAAAGAAGAACTTGGTTTGCAGGTTGAACAAATCTCTGTATGGTCTAAAGCAGGCACCGAGGTGTTGGTATAAGAGATTCGATTCCTTCATTATGTGCCTTGGATACAACAGACTTAATGCAGACCCTTGTGCTTATTTCAAGAGGTTTGGTGATAACGATTTTGTTATATTACTGTTGTATGTGGATGACATGTTAGTTGCACGACCCAACAAAGATCATATTGAAGAATTAAAGGCACAACTGGCTAGGGAATTTGAAATGAAGGATTTGGGATCAACAAACAAGATTTTAGGGATGCAAATTCACTGAGACAGAAGTAATTGGAAGATTTGGCTTTCACAAAAGAATTAATTGAAGAAGATCTTGTCACGACTCAATATGCAAGATTGTAAGCCAATTTCTACCCCTCTTCCTATTAACTTCAAATTATCCTCCAATGAGTCCTAGTAGTGAAAAAGAGAGGATGGAGATGTCTCGAGTATCGTATGCATCAGCAGTGGGAAGTTTAATGTTCGCTATGGTATGCACAAGACCAGACATTGCACAAGCAGTGGGAGTAGTTAGTCGGTACATGACGAATCTAGGAAAAGAGCATTGGAATACAGTAAAGAGGATCATGAGATACATCAAAGGGATCTCAAATGTTGTATTATGTTACGGAGGATCAAACTTACTTATCAATGGGTATGTTGATTCTGACTATGCAGGGGATTTGGATAAAAACAAATATACTACATGATATGTATTCAAAGTTGTTGGTGGAGCTATAAGATGGGTTTCAAAATTATATTCAGTTGTGACTACATCCACAACAGAAGCAGAATATGTAGCAGTTACACAAGCCAATAAAGAAACAATCTGGTTGAAGATGCTATTGGAGGAGCCAAGAGTATGTCTCTCTGTTTTGTGACAGTCAAAGCGCCTTGCATTTAGCAAGGAATCCAATATTTCATTCAATGACAAAACACATACGAGTTCAGTACCATTTCATTCGTGAAAAGGAGGAAGTAGGGACGATAGATATGCAGAAGATCCATACCAAAGACAACATAGCAGATTTCATGACAAAGGCAATCAATGCTGATAAATTTACTCGGTTTCGATCCTCTTGTGGCTTGTCAGAGACATAAGCAACATGAATGGTACAAGGTAGAAAGAATGGTGTGAAGATATGATTGTTCCAATCAAATCTTCAAGTGGGAGATTGTAGACAAGTCAAGCAAAATGTTAAAACACCTTTCGGTGGAAATTATTGGGAAACATTCAGTGCAAGTGGTGCAAATGGCAGCATGATTTTGATGACTTTTGGTATGAGACAATTTCACATTTAATCCCTATACTTTAAGGTATTTACAAAATTAGTCCTTAAGCTTCAACTATAAATACTCTAACCCATTTAGCTTCAAAATCATCTCAAATCATTCTAGTTTTCTCCCAATACTAGAGAATTTAGAGAGTTTTCTTGAGAGTTGTTTTCTCTTTTTTATCAAGAGAGAATTGTTATTATTTTCTCCTTGTTAGATCGAGAGAAGTTGTAATTCCTATTTTCTCATAGTAAAATTTTTCTACTATTGCCCGTGGTTTTTACCCTATATTATTTAGGGGTTTTCCACGTAAAATTTGTGTCTTCTTTATCTTCATTTTTATTTTCTCAAATTATCAATTGCGATTTTGCTTTATCCGATAGTCGTATTCCGCAACACAAATTCGCGTAAGCCAGGCATATGTTCTTGCACTCCTCTAAGTTCAAACTGTAACTATACCATGAATGCTTTGTTTCAGGCACCTTAACTGCAGAGACCTGTATAAATCTGTAATCTATGGAGCAGTTTAACTGTGTTTTCCTCACACAACCTCTCGTCCCGGGTGTTGCTTCCCATTCGCTTGAGCTTCTGGGTACAAACCCGTCATGCAACTACACACAGGAGACCTATTGTTGTCACATATGCCATTTGCACCACATAAGGCATATCTGTCACATTTATCTACACAAAGTAGAAGATCTCGAATCCAACCTCGATTCGGATCTATCCATGTAAAGGGTTCTATAGCTCCATTCTCACTACTTAGCAATCCCTTTAAAAGAACTGAGTTATTACGAGGAATGAATGTTAGATATACCTCATTGTCATTAAATACAAAATCGTAAGTATACATGGGGTTTTCTTGCATCTCAAGTAACCCACTCAACCGCACACCATTGTAAGGTCCGGACCGGAATCTAACAGTCGAACCCTCTCGAACTACAATCTCCGGAAATTCACCGAGCTCGAATCGATACATGAAATTTCCTACAGAAGGATCATCGTCAGTTTTCCAAGACGATAAGTATTGATCCAGGCCGGTTCTTAAGTCTCTCCCAATCTTCATCCCTGCAATGAATGTATTGCCAGGATAATCAAAACTTTGCCAAATGAAGTTCCGTGGATTACTATCTAGCTCATCTTTCACAACAACATTTCCCGAGTCCAATAGCCGCACGACCGGATTCCGAACAAGCCTCGATGAATTGGATGACCAAACGATGTTGCGATTACCATCTAGAAAGACAAGGGTCCCCTGGTCTGTAACTTCTACAACGCCTGATGTATCGTTGAGGGGCACTTCCCTATTAGTCACCCATGGAACTGATGTGACCGAATTTGTACACCATATCCCCGAGTACCTTCTGCTGCCGGAACCTGTCCTAAACAATCCCAGTTCAAAAACTCCACCAGCCGAAACCAAGGTATCGCCATCTCAAATCGAATGACTTGTATTTAAGCTTTCCACTGCAATGGATACTGTTGAATATGGACATAAAAAGGAACAAAGCAGAAGCAAGATAAAATCTGCCATTGAAAAGATGGGGACTGACCAATGCTAAACCCCATTCTTTATATCAAAGTTTTTCCATCAGAATATCACAATTTCAATTTTGATACCTCAGCTGTCTGAAGGAGCCTTTTGCTGACCAATGCTAAAACCATCTAGTGGGCACAAAATTCTAGTCTTGAGAATCTATAATTTACGGCAGAGATAGACCGAAGAGACCGACGGGCAGTCATTCTTAAATTTTATGTCCGTCCGTGATTTATAATATGAATCAATTGCTGGAAAACATATCTAGAAATTTTCTTTTCAAGTTGTGCTAACCCTGGATTAAACGCAGCAGTGTGAACTATATGTATGAATTCAATTTACAACACGTAAATATATTTTTTATATTTCATGTGAACGACCATGAAGGCACGTCAACTATCTAAAAGTCACCGATTGGAATGAATGTAACATAGTTGCACTAGTTTTGTCTTTGACATTGTTTTTTTTCTCCTGTGATCTGGCTGCTTGCTTTGACTAAACCTAATTTGTTATTATAATCAGGTTCCCAAGTACACGTTTCTTGATTTTCCAGGTGAGAAGAAGCCTAGTACATTAAGGTTTCTTAGGAATTGGGTCCTCTTTGAAAAGGGGAGTCAAATGATAGGTCAAAAGAACAGTCCCGTGTGATCAAACGGTGTCAGATCAGATGATTTAACGCACTACATCTGGCTGTTAATTGTCAAGTGACCGGTTGTTATAAATCGTTAATGTCAATGACTTTTTATACATCAGTGGGAAAAATAAAAACTTACTCAAATATCAATATCAATGGAGAAAAGAGAAATTTACTCAAACATCAATAACTATTTACGTAGTTTACCCTATTTTAAATACAATTATAGATGCACGAATTGTCAAATCGTATTTTCAACTTCTCTCAACTTATACGCAACTATACAATAAAATTCTCTACATCCAGCATAGGTAAGATTCGGATCATATCTGCACAATCACTTCCATCTTCCAACTCAAACTGCAATGTCCTGTGCACACACAAAAAATAAATAAATAATATTTTTTCCGGATTTTATACATAAAAGAAATGCCCTTGAACTCAAGGTGAAGTTCATGAAATGTTTATATGTTTCTATCCTGCACTATGGCATCAAAATGAACATAATAGCTCGTAAAACTAAAAGCAAATGTCGACACCGGGGTAGAGCTGCAATTGCTAAGGACTTGCTAAGCATCTGCGATAAAAGGATCATCAAACACTAATGTTAATTTGCAGGATTTGGTAGTAAGTTCAACAAGTCGGCAACTAAAAACAAATGAAACAAAATTCGTGTGAATTTCATAACATGGCAATCTCAGGAATATTAATTCAGTAAGCTTGGGATCTTCGATAAACATCCAGTTGCCTTCAGAGTGGTACGATAATAGCAGGATAAACTTTGCAGGTTTCGTTGTTGCCGCTGCCGTTTCATTCCAATACTGTTCTGAAAACGTATTGTTCCGCATTAGATGTGCATGCCATCTAAAATCCAGTGATGGAGACTGTGATGAACTGTCTAGTTTTTTCTCCATTTGGATGAGGCATCAACCACATCAAGACCGATTGGATCACTTGTTCCTCTTGTATGATGACGATGAAGAAGAAGTTCGGCGGTTTGTTGAAACTCAGGCATCAAACGAGCTTTATCTACAATGAGGCCTCGTTTAAGTTCGACGTTGTACTTACGGAGTACATGCAAGAGCCCTTTTCTTGGGAGGTAAAACACTGCGGGGTTCATCCATTATTTGCAAAGGATGAGGCTGTGGTGCATCCGTCTAAAAGAGTCAAGCATATGTAAAAGGGTGGGTTCCTCATCGAATCCCCTAACATAAAATCTTATATCCGTCATTGCGTGTACCTACTGAAGGGCTTGTCAGAGCCTGCTACATACAAACGAAGACAAACCAATGAGCCTCGTGGGCCGATCTCCAACCGATGATCTATATTTTTGGCAGAGTGTGCAGGCGAGAGAGATGAAGGCATGAAGCCGTAAGCCTGATGGATGAGAGACTGATCTGTTGACTTGTTGCAACCAGAAATATCCCTAGCCTGCCGAGTAAACACCCATAGAATGATCACTCCTGATCAAGGTTTCAGAAGGTGTTGAAGCAATCGGACAGTGGAGTATCAGGTATGCATCCGAGGCTGAAAAAACACCACGAACTGTGCGTTAATCCCACTGAGGAACATCCGGACGCAAAAAAAATCGTCACACCGAATAGGAGTAATTGGTTGTCTACATAAGTATCCGAAAGATGCAAAGGTGCTGAACCTCCCTAGCGAGCGTTGTGAATGGGCACCAGAGAATTGATGCCAGGTCGCTAATGGAAGCCATCTTTTAAATTATTCATGGTGTGAAAGGGACCCCTCCATGCAAATGAAGGACGTGGTCCTAGCCTCGCATCAAAGAAATTACCTGAAGGAAAATACTTAGTGGAGAGCACACGAGTAACCAAGCTATCCGAGGAACGTATGAAACGCCAAATTTGCTTATCGAAGAGTGCAATATTGAACACCTGAAGATCCGATAGACCCAAGCCGCCAACTCGTTTCGGTTGACAAAGAGTAGACCATACAACTAGAGGCTAAACACAATCATCTAAATTGCCCAACCACCAAAATGCTAAAGCGAACTAGTAATTTTCAATATGAGACCGGCCAATGACATACCTTGGTCAACCGATTTAAGAAAAATTTCCCGGACTCTAAAAGATGGCATATTCTTATACCATCCACGGACCCTCGTGATCACTCTATCTCGGATGAAAGCTAGCAATGCCGCTTTGTTTGGCCCCAATAAGGAGTGGGAGTCCGCCCGATGCATGTTCATATAAGTGCAAGATTTACCGGAGTCGGAGTTCTTGTTCGGAATCACACAAGAAGAGGATGCAAACACATCGGACACATGCTTGAACAAAAATGAAAAGTCGAAGAAATTGGCGAAACATAGATGATGATTTAAAAAAAATGATGAGAAATGGAATTGAATCACATTGATATGGCATAATGTGTTGTGCAACGATTAAAAGGTTTTTCTGTATATGAATAACTGATATTGAAAGCATTGAACTCTCTGTTCTATTCTAAATCAACTACATTCTCTTGATCTTTTTTCTTCCAAATGTTGAAATTTACAAAAATAGAGAAAAACTCTAAAGGGAGTCATGAATGTATCTCGGAAAATTCATTGAACTGAATCTACTCGACGAAAGTGGAAAATATGACCGGAGGAGAAGCCAAGACAATCATGCTGAAATGCAGAAGGATGAACTTGGAGCGGGAGGCAAGACACAAACCATGTGACATCCAATAGGGCTGCAGCTTATATTCGCTTCATCGAAATCCGGGAGCCCAAGGTGAGGAGGGTGGATGTATCCAGCAACAAGTGGCATGCACAATATGGAAATAACTACCCTTGAACCTGAGAAACAAAATGGCAATAACATGCAACAGAAATGAAATATCAATGCTTTCTGCATAGCTACAACCGAGGAATTCGTACTACAACGTGAATAGAGAAACAGTTCATAAACCTTGCTTCATGGCTAGCGAAGTATGCCCTCTTTTCCTCCCAGCAAGCATCCATTTATCAGAATTCGCATTGATTTCATACAACATCTCATCCTGTCATAAGTAATAAACATAATGTAATTTACCGAGAAAGAGAAAGAATATTGAAGGAAAATAATTCTCTCTTAATTGCAAGAGATTTGATTCGTAAAGGCCTACTTTTATACAACTCATGGAGTTAGTTTCCTACTTAAACTATACTACCTTGTAGAGTTATATTCTAATATAATATACTAATAATTAGAATTGGAATTAATCTACTATTAGGAAAACCTACTCAATCGTACATCTAACACATAATTGATAGATGCTGAATGGGAAAAAATGCAGGATAGTTGCAGAGTATTCACTAATAGCTTTTCTAGGAAAAGGTCGCATAGTATGGAGAAAGAAGGGATTGCAGATGTTAGGATTGAAACCTCAAATCCGTTAAATGCAACCTCTTAGGAATGGTTGAATGAACCGACAATATTAAGCATCGGGTGACATGTTTCTTCTGCTACAAGTAATATGCCGAAATTTAACTCCACATCTTATGAAATAGGTGCATGCTTATACCTGACTGACTTTGGTCAGTATGATTGCTTTAACTTACATTGTTTTGAGGAACTCTTTTCTCCTCGATGGCTTTCAACCTTTCAACCCTCCATTTTATGGTAACAAGTTTCCCAACTCGAAGACAATCGAAAGGAAGAGGTAGAAATCCAACGGCCAAGCACGGGTTAAGGATAGGCTGCTGCAAAACGAGTGCACTGCTGAATGTTAAGTCCCGACCAGTGTCTTTAATTTCATTTGATTTTGTAGCCACAGGTGGGTGTGCGCCAATGGTCCTATCACCAGAAATTCCATATCTTATGTTTAATATGTTTTCTGGTGGTACCTTATCTTCATCTGTAAAAAGGGACTTCTCTGAGAGTTTATCACAGATAGATCTCGTCGATGAAAAGATCATAGAAAAATGCATGAACTTAGTGTTAAACATTATATTTTGAATAAACAAGTCAGATAAGTAGAAGCCTACTACAGCCGTATACCCAGATACAATAAAAAGAAAGAGGAATCGGTACCTTCAGCACTTCTCTTCTTCAAGCATAAATGGAAGAGGAGCCCGGCTTTTGAAGTTGGAGATATGACAAGTGGAAAATACCCAGAAATTGGTCTTCCATTACCCTGTCCAGCATGAATAAATCCAGATTGAAGATCAAGGCAAGCATCGCAAACTGACAATGTGGCATTCAATTGCGAGTGCAGTATTACCTGGAAGTGCCATGAACCTTTATGAGCTTCATGCAAAATATGGAGAAGTCTCAGGAATTTTATGACAGACAAATGATTGAGAAATTTCGATTTCTACATAAAACATGAATGGTAATATTGAAACAACTTCTCTTATTCATGTGCAATACATACATCTATTTCACTACATACACTAAATTCCTTATCCAACATGCACTGCCTGTTTATGTCATGTGATCGAGCAATGCCATTGAAAGGTATAGTCTTATAACATTTTTGGATGCTATGCAACAATCTCAAATTTGTCATCTGACGATCGAAGATAAGCATCAATCACATGAGATATTCTTGCCCCAAGGTGGCTCATTGCAATCTCCAGTATATAAGAAAACCGAAAGACAAGGACTTTTAAGTCCAAATTATTTATACGCAATAGTCATTTCATTAAAATGTTACGGAAGAAGCATAAATACATGAATGTGGTTGAAACCAAGGACATACAACCTGCAAAAGCAAAGTATCATCATTGCATTGATCTACAATTCTCGTGCTCACATGGAAAGGATCACTGAAATGCAAAGCTATGGTTCTGCATGTTAAAGTAGATCGCGTAATGAAGTTCAGAGAGAGAGTGAATTCATATTCAAATGTAAATAATATATACGTGTGTGTGTGTGTGTGTGTGTATAGAAGGCACTGCCTTTCATAGATCTGGTTTTTTGATATTCCAAACTCGAGCTTCAAGGCTATTGTCCTCATTCTGCCCAGTATACTTTGTTGGTCAGGGCCCCCTGCCACAACACGCACCATGACGTAAATGATCTAGCTATCAGATGCAGCAAACACTCAAAATTCAAACCACCATAATTTTCTAGTCTTTTTTCCTGACCTGATGATGACCCTCCTGAAAGCTTATCATCTATTGCACAAACAGGAATCCATAAAATCGAGGACACGTCACTGGCCCATTCTGGAAAATCTATTTTACCATTTACGAGGCATAGCTTCTCAAAGCGTTTATTAGCATGCGGAGAAAAATCTTTTGCAGCATCACCAGAGTTTGCTGTATCAGCCGAACCCTGAGCAGAATTTCTGTAGCTCTCCATCTCAATGGAATGTGACTCTTCAATCATTAAACCAGAACCAGTTTCAATATGCAAGGCAGCACCTTTTAAGGAGTACTTTATAGGTTGTGCTATTATTCCGATCCACTGAGTTTCATTAATCAGTAATGCAGATGATATAGCTGCAGACAGATCAGCTAGAGATCTTGGTTTGAAAACCTAAAATAAAAATGATTATGACAATTATCGTGTTAACTTTTCTTAATCCATATCATGTGAGAAGACAGTACCTCGAATTCATAAGAGCGAAATGGACGGAGAGAGTACCTTCAAGATAGGCCGGGTTGGCTTCTCATAGCTCATGAAATCATCACTATCTGCTGGACCTCCCTTGGAAAAACTATGAGATCTAAATGTCAAGTTTCCTACGTGGCCAGTAAGGACTCCCAAGACATAGGAACCAGGCTTCTGTGGTGGTAAAGGAAAGGTGATCGGATTCCTACCAGGCTTTAGTACAGTGGCATTCGAGTTCCGTAACTGAAACAAGAATCAAATAAACAAATCATGTCATGCAACAACATATCTTATAAACATGCTAGCGTCATCTTGTCTTAGAAACCATACCTTACCACCTTCATCAGCATTATATGTAGCCATCAAAGTGACACTAATAGAATCAAGAGTTATATCATCAGGAAAGCCACTCCAAACGGTCACAGACAAGGTACCCGGATCCCCATCACATAACGCCATAGGAGAGCCAGGATTTCCAGAAAATGTAATTAACGATGATACGTCAAGAGGAACGTGGTGCGTCGTTTCACTATGTGCAAGACTAACCACTTCTGACTGAAACGTTTGGCGTTCCTTTGCTGAGAATAAGCCTTCATCTAGTGAAAGCAATCGCACGCAAGATGACAGGTAGCCATGTTGGTCATTGAGTGCCTTCTGACATTCAGCTAAATTGGGCAGGACTTCAGCCAATAAATCTTCCCATCCTTCACCGGCATAAAGGGCGCAAACCTTCTCGTATGACTTTGCAGCTTGATCAAAGTTCCCGCGCTTAAAACAGACGGCTGCAATTTCACCATCAAGGACAACTCCGTATCTTTTCCACCAAGAATGATGATAATTGTCAGCAGCACCTTTAGTGAGCTCCATATATTTTTTCTGCAATGACCAATATATATAGGAATTGATGAGACAAAAAGAAAAGATATCCATAGAGTTGTACTTTTGGTATAACGTCTAAACTCTTCAGGCATTCAAAGTGATAACCCCAAGAAGACTAATTTTGGTGTAACTTTTTGTTAGTTCTCTTAAGGACTCGAATATGATCTGAGAGGACATTGAGATTATGAAGAAAATTCAATTCAACTAGCAAGGATTTGATACCTCAAAGCTCTCTATGGACAGCAAACATTTCTGGAGATCAGGATTTGAAATTGTTTTCTTCAGAGCATGTTCGGAAGCAACAAAAATTTCAGCAAGTCTCATAGGTCGACCGATCGAGCAATCGAAATTTCCAGGAGATGAGTAAGTACGTGACATCATAATTGCTTGCGCTTTATCTGCTGGGGACTTCGTTGCTGATTCATCTGAAGCTAATCTGTCAGCATGCATATAACGTTTATTTCTAAAAAAATAAAATAGAAAAATGAGAAGTCAAAAGAAAAAGCAAACAATAGTCACATCAATTCTTGAAATGAAGAACTTTCAATTGACTAGCAACTCTTCTTGAAGAAACTGATAAGAAACATTTGCCTTGATTCTTGAGATTTCCTTACCCATCGTCAGACACGAGTTCGCCATCGAAAAGCTCTGATGCGTTTCCAACAGAAAAGGAAGTCTTTCGCTGGTTTGCCGCACACACGAGGACAGTAGGTTCCAGCGGCAAGGGTTTCCTCTGAAGGCCAAAGTGCTTGGCTCTGGGACTTTCTTGCCGAAGCATCTGAACCAAATTGAGGAATAAAAGCCGAGTAAAAAGGAAAAAGACATTTACGGACTATAATTGTGCATGCATAAAGCCTATGACTATGATACCAAGAAATTTAAATGGTGCTTTCTCAAAATCTAGAAAAAATATAGTATTTCCGGTAGAATGGTCATATAGCTATGAACCTGGCATCTGAACCATCATTGCTATTAAAGAACCTAAATTTTGGCGAACTAAAAGGTCATTATATACTTTGAGAAAAAGGCCACTTTCATGAAATTTTTAGCAAGAAAAGAAAGACCATCTAGAAACAATATTTCTATGTTGATCTGAAGCATGCAAACATTGAAAGAGATTGATGCTGCTAACTTGACCTAGTTTCTTCTCTTGAAAGAAAAACTATACTTCAAAAAAACCTGCCTAATGGGAATAGATCATTAAGCAGTAACACTATCACTTTCAATGAAAGAAACACATGATGGAGATCAAATAGAAGCCCTACACTATTACTTGCAATGAAAGAAACACATAAACCTGTATTAAAATGGTGTAGTTATTATAAAAAAGGATAATCATTCTTTCCGGTTTCTGAGTTTTTAAATGTGGAATAATAACTTGCCTGTTCTTTCACAACGACCTCGGAGGAAGCTTCATCCGGAACTGAAGGCCAAACTGCAGGCCTGGGCCAAGGCAGCATGCTCAGAGAAGCACTTCTCAAAAGAAAGGAACAATATACTATTAGAACTGCCTTGACTGCATGAATGGCCTTTCTTTTATGCTGTGAAACAAGTAACCTACTTCATGGAAAATGAACGGTGGATTTTATCTCGAAAAATCGAATGCGTACCTGTTAACAGGACTCCGTTCTATCTCCATTCCATATCCGATTAGATATGCAAGCCTCAATAACTGCCACAATTATCAACATGTTTCAGCATCGGTTCGACAATATGACAAGTGACATCCCTTATTTATTTCAAATAATCAATAAAAGTTTTACCTTAGTCCTACATAGCGAGTAAAGATCACCTTGAACTCGATAGAACTCCTTTTCGATTTCAGGGGCTTCATCTTCACCGTTATAACGAGTACCGGTCGCACTGATTAACGTCAAGCATGCAGTGATTACCCAAACTTCACGCATGCAGAAGGGCAACATACTCTGTAAGAAATCCAAGAGGAAAGAAAATAAAAATGCGAAACAGCGACCAAAACTGTTGCTGGAAGAAAACAAGGATGATCAAATACCTCATTGGATTCCAGGGATTTCGAGAAACTAATTATAAATGAATAACCCCTTGAAGCAACCTCGAAAGAACGATTCAATTTGAATAAGAGCTGCAAGTTACACTAATCTGTGAGATGATATGTAGGCACAAACACAGCCATTCTTGAAAGTAACAAACTGAAGAATAACAGAGAACAATGTCAGATGCAAAGATATTTAAAGTCACCTTTGATTGACAACCAAAGAGATACTGTCTGAACTCGAACTCCCTGAATGTTTCGTCTAGAACGATCTGTGTCAATGATTTGTTTCCAGGGTTAAGCAGTGCCGCCTGATCGTCACCGCGGTCTAGTCCTCCAAACTCCCTATGCATCCCACTATTATTAACTGCACTCATATCGTAATAAGATCAAGAAGTGCTCTGGAAAAAAAAATTGCCGAAATTCACTGGAAAAAAGGAGCATTTCAAGAAGCACATAACAATTACCAATCAATAATTTGGCCTCTCAACAAATATGATGTTCAGAAACATAAATAGAAATAGAAAATATAGAGTAGAAAGTTAAAACAGAACAAAATGGGCACTCGGGAACATATATACATATATATATTTCATACCTGTTTCCATGTAGCACAATTCTAGTTCATCATATTCACGTAAGGCGTCCTCGTGAAGTTGAGCCATCTCGAACATAAAAGCCAAGCTTTCCTAAGAAAATGAAAAATGAATCACTAAACAGCCAAGCTTAAAATAATGTTTCTGTTTCTTATTCGAGAAAACTAAAATAATGTAATGGCTAATAAGAAAACCAGAAAAGGATTACAATATATGCTTTGAGATAAAACTGAAGTTGAGATAACACAAAAGAATGGAAAATCATTGAGTTTACCGCTGGATCACTATAGCCATAACCATATTCTAACTTTCAGAAGAGGACCAAACCTTCAAAATAAAAAAGTTACAGAAGTTCCAGATTGGCATGAATCGTTGTTCACTAAGCTTGCGTATCTCATCCTCGTAGAATTGTATTCGTCTATCCAATGTATTTTTGATAGACTCTATAATACTGAACTCCAGCTCTTCCCAAAAATTTGGTTCGGGACCATACATGTCAAATTTGCAGCACCTAAATGAAACACAGTTTTAGAATATCAGAAAGCGGAAAAGGAAAAATCAAACACTAGTTAACTGAGGGTGCTACTTTCAAAGTTTCACCATAATTTTCTTTTGTATAGAACTTGCAACATGCATGAACAAAAATCAAATCATAACTTGCACACTAAAATCATTGACACCGGCACAAATAGTACTCGTGACATCGATAAGAATATATACAAGCTGCAATCTTACCTTTCCCTCTTCTTGGAGCTGAAATCAGCTTCAAATCTGGCATAAACTTTCTTAGCCATTTTAGTGTCTTGATCATTGCTTGGATGAGCTCTAGACACAAATACAATGAACCATTCGCGTTCATCATTTTGGGCAAACACTTTCAGGCGTGGTTTAAGAATATTCTTGAACTCATCAAGGTCCTGGGGGAAATCAATGTGAATTGTCATCAACAAGAAGATTGAACCAAACACCAATAAAAAAAACAATCCAAGTTACAAAAAAAAAAAGTAAAATATGAAAGAATTGTTTCTTTCTCAAAGTATGATCATAGGTCTTTGAATCTAAAATCGGTTGGTCTTTAATATCGTTCATAGATGAGAATCAATGTACCTCACATGTAGCGAGAACCAGCGTTGCGTATGGCTCTCGAAACCAAAACAAGTACTGCTCTTGAGGAAATCTGCTACGCAATCTTGCATCAGTGGTTAATACAAATTCAGCAGGCAAATTCTCCAGAAACACGGGATTGCGGGTCTTGTTATTTAAGCAAGCCTTTTTAAATGGCAGCCGCTGTTCAAAGCTACTCTTGACTGTAGGCCATATGTCACTAGCATCTTCAACTGTAAACAGTTCATTTGCAATAGTTGGATATAAATATCAGTAAGAGAATATCATAATAAACCCCTTGATAGTTCATGATAAGATATGGTTGACCATTCATTATCAACATACAAACATCTTAAAGAGCATCATCAAACTTGGAGATCATCCATTTTAGAAAGTGAAAAACTAGATTCAATAATTCTGAACACGATGCGATTATGATGCATTGAATAAACAGAAAGACAATGTAAACCACGACGCATTTAAAAGAGATCGGCATATTAACGCAATACATTTAATACGATCGAACACAAAAATAAAGGAGATACTATATGCATACAAACGAATTGTGAATCCTATATAACTTAAAGCGGCAATATTTATACAAGCTAAAGAAGTGTGACCAATCCCTTAGTCCAAAATCAACTAAGAAGCTCAAAGCTTTAATCATCAATAAATTAACATCAACCCTTCACAAGTTTCCACGTAAAAATTTAATCAACAACTTAGAAATTCCTCTAAAATTGTAAAAATCCAAACTTTGAAGAGATTAATTCAAACAAAAAGGGATTTACCAGCAACGATAAGATAAGGACAAGCGCTCTTTATTGTTTGAAACTGAGCTAAATAGTTCGCCATTGTTTTCTTTCTCGATCTACAATAAACTAATAAAACCCACAGATTAATTGCAGAAATGTGAAGAAGAAAAAGGAAAAATATTTGGGTTAATTTCAGTGAGTTTTTATGTTTTGGTTTCAATCTCCCAAGTTTCTCGTTAAGCTTTTCTGTTGAGACAATTGGATTAAGTCAAAAAAAACGTAATTATTAAATTTGATTAACATTATAATTTAAGAAAATTAAAGTTCCATTCTTTGAGCAAAAATTTCAGTCTTTTTTTTTTTGATTAAATGAAAAAAAAAATGCATTTAGTTCTTAGAGGTGGTAATGCCAAACACTTCCTTAACTTCACCCAAAACCCAGCAATCAAAAGCTTCCACGTAATCACATTTCTAGATGAGGCGGGCCAAAACCTCTCCATCCTTCCTTTCTATAACGACCAGAGAACTCTTTTTTTTCCTTCCTTTTTCTTTGCTATGGCGTTTCTTTTATCTTCCTCCATTACACTTTCTTTCACTACTTCGATACCAAAGCTCCATTCTTTTTCGACCCATTTCGGTTTTCGGTTCAGTCAAGCTCGCAATCAAGAGAATGCAAGACCCTTTCAGCTTAAAGTTCAATGCAAGGCTTCTAAAGACGATTTTGTCAAGGTTGGATTTTTACCTTGAATTCTTGTTGAATTTACCTTTATATAACTTTTGGGTTTGGTGTTTTATTTTGATTTTCAGTTTGTGTTTATTGCCTTTTTAATCTGATACCCATTAGTAGTTAATTCAATTCAAGTTAGAACAATTATGTTAGATGCACCGTGCTTTATGCCTTTGACTACCTTATGCTACTTGACTAGGGATGGTAATTCATCCCGAATCCGACGGGTTCCGACCCGATCGGGTCGGATTTTTTTAAAAAAAATTCGGGTTCGGGTCGGGTCGGGTCGGATTTTTTTTTAAGTGCACTGTTCGGGTCGGGTCGGGTTTAGGGTAAAAAATCCGACCCGACCCGAAAAATATATATAATTTTATCTTATATATTTAGGGATAATTACAATAATATCCCTCCATATATAATTTTTTTCAATTAAGTCACTGTTTTCATTGAATTAATTTTTTTTTTTTTTATTTCGGGTCGGGTCGGGTTTCTAAGTCATATATTCGGGTCGGGTCGGGTCGGGTCGGGTGAAACATTAATTTTGTCGGGTCGGGTCGGGTCACGGGTGGAGAACCCTTTCTTCTCGGGTCGGGTCGGGTGGCCCAAAAACCCGACCCGACCCATTGCCATCCCTATACTTGACATACTTCACCTGCAACTGGAATAGCGGCTGTTATACAGCGGTTTTGACGCCGTCTAAAACCGTTATTGCATGACCGCGTTACACAGCAATAGCGCCTGTTATATCCGCAATCGCAATAAACACAGCCAACCGCGGACAGAAAATCACGGTTCTTCAAGTTATAACTTGAATAATTGATTTGGATTTTGGTGTTAGGAGGAGTATTGATGAAGAACCTAAGTATATACTAGCTAGACAGAAAATTACATCATTTTCTGTTTCTGTCAACAAATTGGGTATGAAATCTCCTTATCTAACTGTTGACAATGAAGTAGATTCCATATTATTGAACCAAAACTATCCAAGCAGTTTAGCTAGTTCTGAGTCATTTTTCTTTGTGATTCTTTTTCAATCCCATTCCTGTTTTCAAGGTTGTCTCTACCTTCTAAAAGTGTATTTAGTGAAGCAGGATCAGTCACAGTACCGAAATATTCCTACAAGTTTAAACTGGTCAACTTTGATTAAGGGAAAGATGAAACTTGAAGGTGTCATTGCTGCGATGCTCATCGTAGCCCAAGTCACCTCCCCATTACCTTTAGCTGGTTGGGACTTCTGGTCTATTTTGCCTGCAAATGCTGTGCTTTACTCTCCCGAAACAAAGCTTCCGAGGACTGGGGAGCTTGCTTTAAGAAGGGCGATCCCAGCGAATACAAACATGAAGGCTATACAGGTTTGAAACTGATAACTGAGTTCACACATTTGGTATGTTTAGATGCTAATCATCCTTTTTTGACCGTCTTTTTTTTTTCTTATAGGCTTCTTTGGAAGAGCTTTCGTACCTGCTAAGGATTCCGCAAAGAAAGCCTTATGGAACCATGGAGGGTAATGTCAAGAAAGCCTTAAAGGTACCTACTATTCGAGTTTATCTCCTATTTTCAGTTTGTTCATTCTATGTTATTTTCCCTGTCGATATCATGTTTAAGTTTCGATTTTATATTGCTTTGTTTAATTTCAGATAGCAGTAGATGGAAAGGATTCTATTTTGGCAAGTATACCTGCAGATCTAAGGGAGAAGGGCTCAGCTCTTTATGGTTCTCTTATCGATGGAAAGGTACAGTGGAAGAAGAAATTCATCTTAAATTAAATGGAAAGACTAGCAAAAGAAGGAATTGGTTGATTCACTTTCTTTTGTCTGGTTGTTCAATGTTTTAGAGGTTTTAGAGTTTTGTGAGGGTCTGGAGGCTTTATTCTACTAATTATGTACTGAGGTCAAGTTGTACTGGTTTATATCTTTAATAAAATTCTGAGGTACTCTTTTCCTCCTTCCAATTTTTGATGATTTGCTGCTCTAGCAATCAACAAATACGAAGGGTTTTTTTAATGAGATCTCCAATTATTATAAAAAAAAAAACTTAAATGGAAAGATCATCTTTATCAAAGTAACAATCGTGTTTTCTGTCTACTTTTGTTTCATTGAGATCTCTAATTCCAACAAGAATAACTACGAACTACTTTTCGTTTCACTAAAGGAAGAAACAGAACTAGTATATGATAACAAGGTAATATGACTGAATAAAACCTAGTATATAGCCAGAAAACAACATATCATAATATCTGAAAATGGAAAGGCTTTCTCTTAGGATGCTTTTTATCAAGCCGGGATGCTTAAAATATTATACGAGTTAACCTATTGATCAGCAGCTCAGTTATGTATATTAATCTATGGTAGGGAGTAGCTTTCCTTGATGAATGGATTCATTCATTTGCAGAGACCTCATGGACTGATTGTGGTATTCCTTGGTTTACTAGGGTGGATTAGAAGCACTCCTAAAATGTATCAAGGATCAGGATGCAGATAGAGTATCCGTCGGCCTTGCATCTTCACTAGATACTGTTGCTGAATTGGAGTTGTTACAAGTAAGTACTATACTACTATTCCCTAGTTATACTTGGTGCGTATTTCCAATGTATTATTTTCTATAAGATATTTGAATGTGTAATAGCTGTTGATTCAATATGCAGACATTTTTTTATTGTATGTGTTTAGTTGTTAAAATAGTATTAGTAACATCTCAACACATTATAATGGAGTAGGCACCAGGGTTGTCGTTTCTGTTACCTGAGCAATACTTGAATTATCCAAGGTCAGTCTTCTCCATCAACTGAAGTCAGAATTTAATGTTTTACTGAGAGTTGTTGTATTCATATTTTATGAATTGATTGGGTAATGCAATTTATTTTGTTTAATCTACTTTGGCTTACATATTTAAAGCATGCTACATAGTTTTCCCCACTTTTTTTAATACGAACATCCGTAGACGAAGTGTTCTATTATTTTTTGTTCCTTTGGCATGCATGATTCCATATGAAATAGGAGGCTTTGAACTGCTTTGTCTCTACTTCGATCTGAAATGATGTCCGTTGTGGTCTCTAGGCTAACAGGGAGAGCAGTTGTTGAACTTACTCTTGAGAAAGGAGATGGTTCATCGTTTTCCCCCGAGGTTGGTGGTGAACCAAGAAAGACTGCCACAATTCAGGTATATTAAACCTGACATAGTTTCGGTGAATGGAGTCGTTACGTTCTCGAGTATTATTAATCATTTTTGCAGGGTAATGATGGAATTAAGTTTAGCCATTTTACATTATCCTGGAAGTTTTATAAACTTCTCCTTTTCTGTTTATCACCTTAAGACTAACACACATGAAGAGCATCTGACTCACTAAACTTCCGTTGTTGCCTAACTCGATAGACGGATTTCAGAACAACATTAAATACTGCTGGGACAAAAGAAATTGTGACAATAGCTATAAATTTGCTAAGTATACCGTACAGAGCTAACGGATTGGAGGTCGAAAAGCACTTAACAAATTTGAACTTACCGACTTCCAACTATCTATTCAGGTTGTTTTGGATGGATATTCAGCACCGCTAACCACCGGAAACTTTGCAAAACTGGTAAGGTAGTTAAACTTATTGTTAACGTTGCCTTTCAATGCTTTGTCTTTTTACATTTTAATGCTGTCCACTCTCAGTATCTTGGTAACCTTTTATAAGAACCAAAGAAAAGATTCAACAAGGTCTATAATATAAGGTTAATTTCGTACATGCAACTGCATGGTTAAACTTGATCAATCTTAGTAGCCAGAGAAAAACTTTAATTAGGTGAATCGGTTTGTTCTTTGAACTTCAGATTAAAAGCATGTTGGCTTCTGGTATTCAAATTGGTGAACGATAACAATTTAAAATGATAAAACTGCACGAATTCTACTAAGCACTAGCTATAATTCTTCAGGTGACAGATGGAGCATATGATGGAACAAAGCTGAGCTGTATTAATCAAGCTCTCATCTCAGAAAACGATACCGGAAAGAACGGTTACAGTGTTCCGTTAGAAATAATGCCATCGGGACAATTTGAGCCTTTGTACAAAACAACCTTGAGCGTTCAGGTACGAGTCCCTATCTAATTTGTACATACGCCTAAAGTTGCAGCTGATAACCATTATCATTCTTTTATCTCTGCTGGAAGGATGGCGAACTGCCGGTTCTTCCCCTATCTGTTTACGGAGCTGTTGCTATGGCGCACAGTGATGTCTCTGAGGAATATTCTTCACCATATCAATTTTTCTTCTATCTATACGATAAAAGAAATGTAAGTATATTTCAAAGTTCCATCTAATTCAATGCTACTGTCTACTTCCTATGTTCCTCTGACTCGGTGTAAGTGTCAGAGATAAGTATGCTTTCAGCACGAGTATACACGAACTTTCTAAAGTTTTTTTCACATATTTAGATGATCATTCCTCGTATCCTTAACAGAATATGTCAGTGAGTAACATAGTCTACTTCTATTCTCCCCTCAACTTTGCCTGTTCAATACATCTTTGATTTATTTGGTTAAAGCTGTATACTGATGATTTACTTGTTCATAGTCTGGTTTGGGAGGCATATCGTTCGATGAAGGCCAATTTTCCGTTTTCGGGTAATGCGAATGTCATCTTATGCATTGGAATGCATGCATATATGTATGAGGTGATTGTTGGTTACACTTTTCAATATGAATTTGATTTCAACTTACAGATACACAACTGCTGGGAGAGAGATTCTACCACAGATAAGAACAGGAGATGTCATCAAATCCGCCAAGCTCGTCGAAGGTCGAGACCGCCTCGTATTACCAAATGAGAGCTGATGAACTTCTTCAAAAAGGGTCATCTCCATAAATTTGAAATCAGTGTATCAGGCACAGAATTTAAGTTGCAGGGTTATCCTATAAAGCTGTAAAGATAATTTTTGGAGGAGTTCTTGCTGCAGTTTTTTTCGTATTTCCAGATTTTGTTGTAAATTATTAAACCACTTAAACACTTTAAATCAATTCATTGAAGCTTTATTAACAAGCATTAGTTCTTAATTATTACTTGCATCAATTGCTTCTTTACTTCCATCCACTTGCATCAATGGAATTTCAATGCATCCTCCCACAAATATAGCAGGAATGGAGTTAAAATATTTTTCTAATATTTTATTGCATAATTTTTTAGTTTCTATTTCTTTCGAGTACTTCGGTCTTTAATGTTTCATTTGGTACAGAATAATTAGTTTGAATAAAATTCGTTAATTAACTAATGATGAAAAAAGATTAAAATAATTAAATATATGAATACAATATAACCTGAAAGCATAATTTTTCCATTTTATTTGATTCGATTCGATTTAAGAATTTTTTCTCAACAATCTTTGTCTTATCTTAACTCGTCATAAAATCATGTCACACTCAACAAGAGTCATTTCCTCATATTATTAATTAATCTCATATTGACCTTCCCGCACAGACAAATCTCGTATTAATCTTCAAATCATAATATAACCCCAAACCACAAATATTCTTAAAAGAAAAGTTCATCAAGAGATAATGAATGTTAGGTTATACCCTCACTCTTCAACTATGAGTGTGATGAAGGGCCTATAAATCCCAAATCATTCAAGAGTTAATCCTAGAGAAACATTGCATCATGTACTGGATCTCGGTGTTTGCAGTACTGGACATGGACAATGTGTTGGGTTTGGGATTGATTCGAGAACCAATGATTACAATATACTTGTCGTTGGGTTACTTGATTCTTATTTGTTTCCACTTAATGAAAATTGTTGGAAAAGGGTTACTGCTGTTTGTCCGAAGCGTAATTTTTATGTTACGCCAATATTGCTTTTTGTTAATGGAGCTGTTTGATTTGAATGCTGAGAAGTTTTTCGAGATCAGTTCGTCTCCGAACTTCGCAACCGTGACAACACGGCCGCAACTGCAACGGCGACCGTAACTTAGTGCTGTGGTGAGTCTGCTGGAACTGTGAAATTGCATGATGTCTGGAATGTAGTCACACCGATATCGACAAAACAAGGCTCGGAGGAACCTTGCACAAGTATTCCGTTTACGAACATCACCAAGTTGCCAAAGCAATCGTCGAGTTTCTCCAGTCAGAAACCCTATTAACAAAATCCATGACAATATCTTTGCAATACTTAATAAGGTTTTCTCTGTCAGCTTCCATTAGTCAGCTACGCGAGCTTCGAGCTCTTCTACTAGGAGACTATCGTTATCTAGAGAAAATCCCACCAATCGGAGCTCTCTATAAACTCCAGGTGACGGATCTCTCAGGCGCACAATTAAGAGTACTACCGAACGGGACAAGTAAGCTGGATAAGCTACGACAACTACGTTTGTCCCTGGGCACACCATCTAGAAACCATCGACGCAGGTACGATTTCCAGATCGCAAAGCCTGGTGTTATCAGACATGTCTTGCAGTGCAAACAAGTAGGATACATCTAGAACCACTAATGATACAAGCATAAACATATATTTGGCAAGTGCCAACATAATATATTCATATTCGACACTCACCGAATCTAATCTAATATAAATTTAGGATACTTTATCCGAAATCTGATTCAATTTTAAATAAAAACTTGCATCAGAACTAGAGATGGACACGAAAATTGAATCCAATGGGTTTCAACTTGATTCCATTAGATTAATTTAAAAAAAAAAAAAGAAAATCGGATTCGGGTTGGATCAAATCATATTCAAGTTTAATACCTCTTTAAATATTTTTTTAATTAGTTTTTTATTTTTATCAAAGAAAATTAATATTTTTATAAATATATTTATTTTGAGTTAGGTCAAATTTGAGTTTTATCTGAAAAAGATGGGCTGAGTTCGAATCGGGTGATTCCTTCTAAATTCAAGTTGAGTCGAGTTTAGAGTTGAGTGTATATATTTTTCAATTCGGGTCGAATTTAGGGTGAAGAGTATATATTTTTCATATCGAGTGGCGTTGACTGAAAATTCAACCCATGCTCATCCCCTATCCAAACTGACATGACATACATGATTATATATATGATTCGTTTTATTAAATAAATAGGAACATAATTGAAAATATATCAAGAAATGATATTATTAATAATTATCTTTAAATATTTATTCATAGCAAATATTTTCACCATAAATTCAAATCTAACCCAACTTAATTTCATACCTAAAATAATATGACCTAATTTAGTCTAATACTCAAATTTCAAAATTTATTTTTATAAAATCAAATTAAAATTTATCAAATTCAGTTCAAATAACTACCTCTTAAAGATGGCTCCACGTATTTAAGACAACAAATCAAACCCTAAACCGTTTCCCATAAATCGCCACGTGTCCTTTTTCAATCATCACAAAGCTTTATCTCGCGACTATAAATCTCATCATCGTAATCGCTCCCCTCTATTTTTCGTATACAACCTTCGAAAATCCCCAAATCGAGAATTTTCTCCGTTCTTTAGGGTTTTCATCTTATTATTTTTTGCTAATAATCCCTATTTCAATTCTCTGAAAGGAGCCCTAGAAGCCTCGGATCAGGTAATTTTTCTCTTTAGCTTCTCTAACATCGGTTTAAAGATTAACATTTTAGCATCATCTAATTGGTTTTAGCCTTTTTCTTACCGGGTTTTGTCTATATCGTCAAGATTTCTTTTGGTTTCTTTAATTTCTATGCTAATTATTCAAGATTAATTTAGATTAAGAATCGTTTTTGCTTGAATAACAGGAACAACTTTTATCATCCAAAGTTACCCTTCCCACCTTCTGGATCTTCGTTGTCAATTTTTTAGATAATTGGGTTATATTGAAAATTTTAGTCTTTACATGTTATCAATTATAATGGTTTTTGGAATGAAATTGGAGCCATTTCTTTAAGACTTATTCCATAATGTATAATCTAAAGCGCTTTGGAGTTTTATCTATTTAATTGTTTTGTTTTCTTCGAGGAAGTTGAAGATTGATAGGGAATTCGAACTGTAGGATTTTATATATGCCTAGTCTGGATTATTGGCTTATTGTTAACAAGTTTGAATAATGCTTTTTCGCATTGGCCTATGGTTTTATTTTACAATGATTAGATACTTATGGTTTCAATTTACCTTTTGAGGGGCTTTTAAGGTTCTTGTTTGTTCTTTTCAACCTATTGATTGAAAAAAATCAAGAATCTTACTTTGGGTTAGTTGCCACCATAGAATTTAGGGGCTTCCTGATTTTCTTTTATATGGAGTCGTATCTGATGTTGGTATTGAGTTTCATGTTTAGGTCTCAACTTGTGGTTCTTAAGCCTCATTTGATCAACTAAGTTTCATGTCTGATCTCGACGTCCAGATTCCAACCGCCTTCGGTATACTCAGATCCTAACTCCCTAAGTTTGCTATTTATCATAATTGTCAACGTCTGTTATTAATTTTGGGTTTAACTTGGGGTTTTCTAATTTTGTTCTAGATCCCTTTGCTGATGCAAATGCTGACGACTCGGGTGCCGGAACAAAGGAGTATGTGCACATTCGCATTCAGCAACGGAACGGCAGGAAAAGCTTGACAACCGTCCAGGGGTTGAAGAAAGAATTCAGCTACAACAAGATACTCAAAGACCTCAAGAAGGAGTTTTGCTGCAATGGTACTGTGGTCCAAGACCCTGAATTAGGACAGGTATGTATAACTCCTTTAGATATCATTAACATTGTCGATACCTGTTATCAGATGGTGGTTAAGTTTGTTATGTTGTTTATGTTTAGGTTATTCAACTTCAAGGTGACCAGCGCAAGAATGTCTCCACCTTCCTTGTTCAGGTAATTGTTATTTTGCGTCTTTTGAGTACGTAGATGTCTAAAGAACATCTGATGCAGTTTGGTGTTCGAGTTCCTAATCTTCATTGCGTATCTTTTTCGACCAGGCCGGCATTGTGAAGAAGGACAACATCAAAATTCACGGTTTCTAAGTCGCAATCGCATATAGTTTTCTTTGAATTTGCACGAGCCTTGTGTCGAAGCAGGGAACATTACTCGATTATTGTGTAGTCTATACTGCTGTGCCCTTTCTATGTTGGTTTGATAACTACATATTGCATCGCTTACTTATTGTGTGTTTCAGTTCATTGGATGATTATGCAAGTTTGTTTCTTTACAACTGATCTTTTAGTCATCCCATTGTTTTCTCCATTTACTTTGGGTTTAATTTCATTATTTTAATTAACAACTAATCTCGTGATTGATTAATTTAGTATCATTTAAGAGATTGATTGCAGTTAGTGTTAATCGAATACACTCAATGAGAAAAATTATGAATCAAACTTTAGTTGATAAATATGATAGAAATGAATATGGAAAAGAGTTAAAAGTATCAATGTATAAAAAATAAACAAATTTATATATCATCAATATTGTTCTAAATAGTTTAAAGTAATTATAAAATAATATTAATTTAGAATGTTTATATAGTTTTACGAACAATTAAAGTTTATAGAAAAAAATAATGTTTCTTTCTATCAATAGATTATAGGTTTATTTTTTTTAAAATATCAATGAAATAAATAAACAAAAAGTTTTAAAGTTGATTTAACATTTAAATTTTTAATATTTTTAAAACTATATTTAACGTTTAACTTTTGTTTTATTTTAGTATTTCATTAAAAATTTAACGTTATATTTTAAAAAAATTTGAAAGTCTAGGTACTAAAACGGATCAAAATTGATAATTTAAGTATTAAACGCATTAAATTTTTAATGGTGGGTATTAAAATGAAACAAAAACTAAAAGTTATGTATGATTTTTAAAAATTGAAAGTTTAGATACTAAGATGAATTTAAACTAATAGATTAGGTACTAAACTCGTAGTTTACCCTATAATTTATAACTGAACTAGTCAACAGATCAAAGCAAAGCAAACAGTTGTACTCTGAGCTTCTTGGATTCTCCCCGGAAAACACCTTCATCTCTGATCCCCAACTTCCACCACTACACGCTTTCTTCCTTAGGTATTTAATAGTTATACTGAAATTGCTTAGATACCTTTGTGTTATTGGAAATTTGATCTCCTTTTCTCTTTATTCTTGCTCGTATACTTGCTTGGATTGTTCGTCTTTCCTAGTTTCTTCTTGGGTATTAAGCCATCTATATTTCTTTGATTTTGAACATCAGATCGAGATATCCTTTTCTTCCTCCTATAATTCGTCATGTTGTCGTTACCTTCGTCTTCCTCGTCGATTTCTAGACAAAAATATGATATTTTCTCGAGTTTTAGAGGTGAAGATACCCGCAGAACTTTTACAGATCATCTCTATGATGCTCTTCAACGGAACGGAATCGTCACTTTCAAGGATGATTCAATATATTAGATGTTGATGAAGGAAATGCAATAATCAGTCATAGGTTGTCTCATAAAAAGGTTCTCTTTGTTATCGATGATGTTGACGCCAAAAAACACTTGGAACACTTTTTTGGAAGGCATGATTGGTTTGGTTTAGGTAGTAGAATCATTGTAACAACAAGAGATTAACATATGCTCCAATCTTATCGAGCCGATTATGTGTATAAGCCTACAACATTAAGTCCCAATAATGCATTGAGCTCTCTAAACATGTTGTACGTTACGCTGGTGGTCTTCCCTTAGCTCTTGAAGTTTTGGGCTCTTTTTTCTGTGGTAGAGATGCAACTCAATGGAGAAGTGCAATCGAAAGACTTGAACGAGATTCCAACAAAGAAATTCTTGATAGACTTCGAATCAGTTTTGATGGATTGGAAGAAAGGGAAAAGAATATATTTCTTGATATCGCAACCAAACCTCCTCCCACTTCAATTTTAAAATGTGATATTTTCACAAGAAAGAAACCAAACAAAATTTTCTGCATGAATCAAGTGATTTTGTAATAAATGAATTGTTATTATCTTTTGAGGACTAGGGTTTGAGCATCGAGTATATTAAAAGTGAGAGCGTTCATTGAAAAAATATTGTCTTAATTATCTTAGATTAATTAAAAAAACAAATATTCAATTAACAGAGAAAATTTGTTTGCTTTGGAGTTTGATTTAAATGCTTAAGAAAGTTTCTTCATAACTTGATTTTTTTTAAGTTTTTACCGCCTTGTTGTTCTCTCTAACCTCCAAATAAGAACTTTCCATAAAATCCTCTCTTTTTGATTATTTTACCTTTGATATTTTCTCCTTATAAATAGGTATGTAGTAGCTTGATGCTTATAAATTCATGGTTATTTTGGTAAAAGAAAAAGGGAAAAAGAGTGGGTGTTTACAGTTATTTTAACATTGTTGTCAAAGTTTTTATCCTCGTCGTTTCTTGATCTTAAAAACCTTCAAAGTTCAAGTTTTTAGCAAATTCCCAGCTTGAATTCGATCAGAAATTTAGAAAAACCAAATGAGTTTCAGCATCAAGCAATCAGCTTTAACTATGGATGTTTCCAGCTCAATTCTTCACAAAAGATCGCCTTCCATTAGATCTTCGTTTTCACCATCTCTGAACCTTGAAAACAACACCAACAAAAGAGCTTTTATTTCAGTGTCGAAGCCTTTGCATATCTCATCCATTGAGAGTTGTTGTTTTCACAAGGAGAAAAAACCAGTGATCCATTGTAAGGCTTATGAAGCTGACAAGTCACCGTCTTCGTCCGCGGCGGAGGCCGAAGGTAAATCGGAAACCGCCCAAAGAGTGAAAATTGGGATTTATTTTGCAACTTGGTGGGCTCTCAATGTGGTTTTCAATATCTACAACAAGAAGGTTTTGAATGTTTATCCTTTCCCTTGGTTAACTTCAACTCTGTCACTTGCCTGTGGTTCTCTGATGATGTTAGTTTCTTGGGCCACAAGGATTGCCGAGACCCCGAAAATCGATATCGAGTTCTTGAAGGCTCTGTTTCCGGTGAGATTTCCCCACTTTTTGTTGTTTGGTTGGTGAGAAAGTGAGAGAAAGTGAAAGAAAATCATTGGAATTCATATCATATCAAATAGTCTGTGATTCAGTTTTCTGATGTATGTTCTTGTTTCTGAGAAATTAAGATTAAGATGTCAAATTCTGATGTATGTTCTTTTGGTTTCATTTTCCATAGGTTGCTGTGGCACATACAATTGGACATGTTGCAGCTACTGTGAGTATGTCTAAGGTTGCAGTTTCATTTACTCACATCATTAAAAGCAGTGAACCGGCGTTCAGTGTCATTGTTTCGAGGTTCTTGCTCAGAGAGACCTTCCCTCCGGCGGTTTACCTGTCGCTTCTTCCAATCATCGGTGGTTGCGGTCTTGCCGCCTTAACAGAACTCAACTTCAATATGACTGGTAAAGACATTGTTTACCATGGTGTCTTGTTTATGATGCTTGAAGATCTTTACCTGGGTTGAGCTTGTACTTTTAATCGATTTGTTTTTTGGTTACGGCCAGAGTGGTGAACTCGGTTATTCGTCATGTATTTTCAGGTTTTATGGGAGCTATGATTTCGAACTTGGCGTTCGTCTTCCGTAACATATTCTCGAAGAAGGGCATGAAAGGGAATGCTGTTAGTGGGATGAATTACTACGCCTGTTTGTGTATGTTGTCGCTTGTAATTCTCACACCTTTCGCAATAGCCATGGAGGGACCGCACATGTGGGCGGTAGGATGGAAAGAGGCCGTATCTCTAATCGGACCACAGTTCATCTGGTAATAACATAACGGTACTAAGTCGTAATTATCGTTTAGATTTATTTGTTGGACTTTGGAGGATACTTAAAAGGTGTTCGATAAACTTTTCGTAATTTCTCGTGCTGGTTAGGTTTAGAATTAAAGGATTTAGAGGCCCCATTGCCTATGTGACTGATAAAGAACATATTGGGACCAGAAACATATGATAGATTGCCATCTGAAAAGGTTTTTTATATGTTGGTCTTTAATTTGATGTTTTTGTTCAAGTGCGGATCCAATTCGTATCGCTTATTCATTCTGTTCGATTCGATGTTTACTGAATTGTTCGTAGTTATGTTTTGAGTTCTATTAAAGATTAAAACATGTACCTGTAACATGAGCATTAGAGAATATCGGCGTCATTTTTATTCCGTGCCGGTTTCGGTACTCTTTAGGATCTGATCATAATGGTTGTCGATTATATTTGTATTTGGTAGGTGGGTGGCGGCCCAGAGTATTTTCTATCATCTATACAACCAGGTCTCGTACATGTCCCTCGATCAGATCTCCCCACTGACGTTTAGCATCGGCAACACCATGAAACGTATATCCGTTATCGTCTCGTCCATCATCATCTTCCAAACGCCTGTCCAGCCGATCAATGCTCTCGGAGCTGCGATTGCTATCCTAGGAACATTCTTGTATTCCCAGGTGAGTGATCGTTGTAAATTATGAACAACGATGCATTCTCGTTGCATGTTGCTTAGCACGCATGTTCATGCCTTTGACGGAGATACTTTCGACATATTCCGAATTTTGCTCAGTCTTTTAACAAGCGATTATTTCACCGTCCTGAATCTCATAAGCTCTCTCTTTTGCAGGCAAAAGCATGAGAGAACACCAGGGGTTAAAGAATTTTGATTCATCGAATAACATAAACGAAAGAGATAGCTCTGAGGAGGTCATAGTTTACTGTCTTCAGCGAAACATGATGACCGGATTTTGGTCGAAAAGGATCCCGGAGGCGGCTTGTCATTATGCAGATATTTATAATAAGGGATTAGGCAGGGTTTTTTTGCTTTGTTTTTGTAATTCAGGCTTGAAGGGAACATGTTTTTGAATAAAATAGGATGAATGCTCCATGCCTTTGTTAGTGTCAGCAGACATGAATAAACAGAGCCAATACAATATCATATTCTTTTAAGATTGAGCTGCCATTGATGCTTAGCTTATGGTCAACGTTGAAAATCCGTTGTCGATATATATAAACGGCCCGACTGCAATCGCAATTCAAAATGCCTTTACCGGTTAAAACGTGTACCAGGGTTAAAGGAAATTTTGGCAAAATGGAGCCAAGACTTTTGTGTTATGATGTTCCTCGATGGTCTTCTGTAATGACGTTCTTGTTAATGCCTCATCCGACATGCAACACGGAAAACAGTTCATTTTTGGTCTTCCTTGCAAAGCAAGACATCCCAAATTCTTGAAGAAAATGTTTGATATGTATGCTCAAGAATTAATGAAAACCAACAGCTGATCAATGGGAAACAAGAAACCTACCTCCTCCCGGAGGCAACCGAATCGTATTCGGTCCCTCAGGAGGGCACAAGGAACAATGTCTCATGATGTTTCTTGATGCTCTTCTGTAATGACCTTCTTGTTAGTGTCTCATCCGACATGCAACACGAAAAACAGTTCATTTTGGTTTTCCTTGCAAAGGAAGACATCCCAAATTCATGAACAAAATGACTGATATATATGCTCAAGAATGAAGGAAAATCAACAGCTGACCTATGGGAAACAGGACACCTACATCCTCCCGGAGGCAACCGAATCATATTCGGTCCCTCAGGAGGGCACAAGGAACAATGTCTCATGATGTTCCTCGATGCTCTTTTGTAATGACCTTCTTGTTAATGTCTCTCATCCGACATACAACACGAAAAACAATTCATTTCGGTCTTCCTTGAAAAGGAAGACATCCCAAATTCATGAACAAAATGTCTGATATATATCCTCAAGAATGAAGGAAAATCAACAGCTGATCAATGGGAAACGGGAAACCTACCTCCTCCCGGAGGCAACCGAATCGTATTCAGCCCCTTAGGAGGGTACAAGGAACAATGTTTCATTATGTTTTTTTTTTCTTTATCTCTGTCCGAACTCCAGTGAATCAGATAGCCAAAAAAAAAAAAAAACTCAAATCACATCTGCTAAACATAGAAACTAACAGATGATTTTCACATTTGTTTACTTCTCTTCTCATTGTCATAAATTCTTCAAATCAAAATGGTCATAGAGTGTTTGTTTTCCATTGTCTATTGCAATATAAGCTGTACATTTCGGATCAGATGCTAGCTGGTGTCACAAAAAGACCTTAGTTCTAACTAATTTTCTGCAATGTCTACTCCGGGATCGGATACTTACAAGAGAACGTTGTAAAGAATTAATGCACCGACATATGATGCTGCAAGAACGTTAGATGATCTAATGACTCTATAGCATATTTGCACATAAAACCAGTTTTGTTGCAAAAATCTTCAATTCTTCAGCTTAGCAAACCGTTTTTCAAGCCTGCAAATCCTAGTTTCGAGTTCAAGACTAAGTGTGAAAAGATCAGTAGTGTCAAGGCCTTGTCCATCTTTGAGACCTGGTTTGCTCTTGACATCATCATCTGTGACCAATCCTTTTGATTCTCCGATTGAATTTGCATTCTTTGTGATCTTAGCATCCTGTTTCGGTTCACATTCGGTCTTCTCAACATCTTCTTTATCTGTGACTGTCATGATCATTGGCATGTTTTGACATTCACCGACTGATAAACGTTTACAGATATTGTTCAAGGTTTTGTATCTTTTAGTTTCATCAGAACTTTCTGTGTCAGCTGCACACCGTTTCGTATTTGTTTTCATCTCTGCAAGTGCTTCAACTTCTTTAATTGAGCATGGTTGCCTTTGAGGACCTAGGGGAGACTCACTCGCACCACTCGTTACCATGTTTTCACTGTCATGCTTAGCAAAAGTCAACAATTCTCTTATCGTTAATCGATCTTCCACGTCGACCTCCAGAACAGAATCCCCTGCTTCCACCATTTTATCTTCCTTTTCCTTACTCGAATCTCCTTTGGAAACCTTTTCCATCACTGAAACATCATGTTTTCTTCGATTCCTAGGCTCCTTAAGAAATGGCTTGATAGCATCACGATGAGCCACCACTGATTGGTTCCACCTGTAATAACCAATTTTTGTCCATGCTGCTGCACAGTACCCCACGTCAGCTCCATACCTTGCTGTTCCCAACACCGTGCAGTTTACCGTGCCCATGCTGGTCGACCACTACCTCCTCACCCATACCGTGCCCATGCCCATGCTGCTCCACCATTGTTTTGTTTCTTCTTTCACTTGTAATGGGTATTTAACCCACCCAAGCAATGTAGAAAAGGGGACCGATTATCAGTAGACAGTAATAAACAAATATTTTCATCAAACGAAGCACAAATTTTTTTAGCAGCAAATCAAAAACAAATCGAAACCTTCAAGTAAATTAAGAGTGTCGTCGGGGATTAGGCTCGGTTTTCATCGGGGACTGCTGGATATGGGTTTCAGTGCCGTCGATGGTGGCTACTCAAGGGGAATGGTCACCATTATGTGGTGGCCGGAGCGATCAATTCTTTGGGGAAGGAGGCTTTCGCACGCTTGAAGAGAAAGGGTGATGGGTGTTGGGGATTAGAGAGCAGTCGGGCAGAATGAAAATTAAGGGAGAGAAAATAGTTTTATTTTGTTAATTTGGGAAAAATCACGATAAGGTCCCTTTAACTTTATCGTGTTTTGAGTTTCAGTCACCATTTCGTAGGATAATTACCCATAGGTGCTCTAACTTTAGGAACTCATTCGTATTTTGTTCACTAGTTTATGGGTAAATTTCTGTGTGGTCCTTGTCTTTAGCAGATGTTTTATATCTTGCCATTACGACAACGTGTAAGTGTTTCACTACCAACTTTTGGGCGTTGTGAGGGTATTAATCCTTCCCCATGCGTAATCGACTCCCGAACACATCAAATCATTGGTAAACGCATATCGAATTTTATCTTAAAAATGATTTTTCTTAAAATTGCTTTAAAAGATGTTTTGGGTATTCGACCTACCTAACCCAAAGGTCGATGACGACTCTATCCAATTTAATTCAAAATCACCCATCTTCCAAAATTAAAAGTAATAACCGTTTTTAAACAATAAATAATTATTTTACCTAAAAAAAATGGTTATGACACCACCAATGTCAGTACTGTGAAGTAACATCTGACTCGAAAAGCCTTGGCGATACATACAACACTGCATCTCGAATCGGTCTGCCTAATTCCTCCAAGCAATATCAGTGTTTCCATTGCATCTAGCAAAACATCCCGGAAGATCTTGATCCATTCCGAATTGCATCGAAACCCGACTTGAGACATACTGCTCTATGATGTCTAGCCCAACGAGTTCACTGCCCCTCAAACATCTAACAAACGAATGAATCTCTTTGTCCAAATCAACACGAGAATCGAGCAACACATTCTGTTCCTCATCACCATAAAACTTCGGCAAAGACCAATCATCGATCGACGTAACATACGGCCGCCATTGAAAACTTCCTCCTGCAGACTCCATAGCTAGCTTCACATTAACAACATTCACCTTAAGCTTGTTCCATCTCACCACCCTCGGCTCATTACTCGAGATCGAATTTGGCATCGGACGCAACCCCGGAAACCTTTCCCAAACCCAAACCTGCACTAACTGAAAGGGTGCATAAAGATTAACCAACCCATTACTTTGTGCCACAACCGAGCCAGAGAATCGATCCTTCAATAGATTTAAGTCCCTATATATGCTAGATAAAACAGCCGGTGCAAGAGCAACCCGATTCCCTCTAGCCAAATGAATCGCAACACGAAAAACATGCTTCCATATACTTGTAGAAGAAGAAGTCGCAAAAACAAAGTTCGATAACCATAAAGAAAGGAATGCTTCATGCTCAAGCTCATTCCCAGTTCCCATGAAATAGTCAATCCAAGCTTTAGGCGTGGCAAGCACGCAGCCTCCTCTTGCGGCCATTTTTCGCCCTTTGATCAACCTTTCTTCAACCTCGAGGAGGTGTTTACTCTTCAAAGGGTTCAAAACAGATTCACCAAGAACAGAAAACCCACCGATGACCATAACATCTTCCAAGGTTATCGTTGCTTTTCCCCAAGGAAAAACAAAAGTATTTGTCCCAAGACTCCATTTTTCGGCAAAACGAAGAACGAGTTCTTTGTGTTGTTTGATATCGTACCTGGAACTCATCACTGCATTGTGAATACCAACTTGTTCCCATAAAGCTCGATGCTTGGAATGCATTTTATGAACCCATATTTTCCATTTTTGGGTGGGACGCTTCCAGTCTCTGAACGACACTTTCTCGGACAAGTCCTTTACGCCATGGATGAAGGGCTCGGTGTTGCGGAAGACGGCTATCGGATAGAGCAAAATCGTAACTGATAATTTGAGAAAATAAAAATGAAGATAAAAGAGACACAAAATTTACGTGGAAAACCCCTAAATAATATAGGGTAAAAAAACCACGGGCAACGGTAGAAGAATTTCACTATGAGAAAATAGGAATTACAACTTATCTCTATCTACCAAGGAGAAAACAATGATAATTCTCTCTTGATAAAAAGGAGAAAAACAACTCTCAAGAAACTCTCTAAATTCTCTAGTATTGGAAGAAAGCTAGAATACTTTGGGATGGTTTTAAAGCTAAATGAGCTAGGGTATTTATAGCTAAATCTTAAGGACTTAATCTTATAAATACCCTAAAGTTTAGTGATTAAATTTTGTAATTATACCTTACTAAAATCAACCAAAGTTGGCTGCCCACTTAGACTAAATTAGCAGCCGGCTGCTGCCACAATTATTAACAATCTCCCACTTGAAGATTTGATTGGAACAATAATATCTTCACACCATTCTTTCTACCTTGTACCATCATGTTGCTTACGTCTCTAACAGGCCACAAGAGGATCGACACCAGGTAAATTTATCAGCGTTGATCGCCTTCGTCATGAAATCTGCTATGCTGTATTTGGTATGGATCTTCTGCATATCTATCGTTCCTTCTTCCACCTTTTCACGAATGAAATGGTACTGAACTCGTATGTGCTTTGTTCTTGAATGAAATACTAGATTCCTTGCTAGATGCAAGGCGTTTTGACTGTCACAAAACAGAGAAACATGCTCTTGATTGTACCCAAGCTCCTCTAATAGCATCTTCAACCAAATTGCTTCTTTACTGGCTTGTGTAGCTGCTACATATTCTGCCTCTGTTGCGGATGTAGCCACAACTGATTGCAATTTTGAAACCCAACTTACAGCTCCACCAGCAACTTTAAACACATATCCTGTAGTAGATTTGCTTTTATCCAAATCCCCTGCATAGTCAGAATCTACATACCCATTGATTAGTAAGTTTGATCCTCCGTAACATAATGCAACATTTGAGGTCCCTTTGATGTATCTCAATATCCTTTTTACTGTATTCCAATGCTCTTTGCCTGGATTTGCCATGTACCGACTAACTACTCCCACTGCTTGTGCAATGTCTGGTCTTGTGCATATCATAGCGAACATCAAACTTCCCACTGCTGATGCATACGGCACTCGAGACATCTCCATCCTCTCTTCTTCACTGCTAGGACTCATACTGGAGGATAATTTGAAGTTAATAGGAAGAGGGGTAGAAATTGGCTTACAATCTTGCATACTGAATCGTGACAAGATCTTCTTCAAGTAATTCTTTTGTGAAAGCCAAATCTTCCTATTACTTCTGTCTCGGTGAATTTGCATCCCTAGAATCTTGTTTGCTGATCCCAAGTCCTTCATTTCAAATTCCCTAGCCAGTTATGCCTTCAATTCTTCAATATGATCTTTGTTGGGTCCTGCAACCAACATGTCATCCACATACAACAGTAATATAACAAAATTGTTATCACTAGACCTGTTGAAATAAGCACAAGGGTCTGCATTAAGTATGGTGTATCCAAGGCACATAATGAAGGAATCAAATCTCTTATACAACCACCTCGATGCCTGCTTTAGACCGTACAGAGATTTTTTCAACCTGCAAACCAAGTTCTTCTTTTCTTTTTCTTCAAAACCTTCAGGCTGGAGCATGTAAATCTCTTCTTCAAGATTTCCATGAAGAAAAACTGTTTTAACATCTAGCTGCTCTAGATGTAAGTTCAATGTAGCACACATTGCCAAGACTACTCGAACTGTTGTTAGTCGAACCATAGGAGAAAAGAATTCATTAAAATCAATACCTTCTTTTTGAGCATATCCATTGACCACCAGTCTTGCACGATACCTCTCCACTTGATCGTCACCATTTCGCTTGATTTTGAAAACCCATTTGTTACCAATTGGCTTCCTTCCTTGTGGTAGTGGCACAAGGTCTCATGTATTATTTTTATGAAGGGCTTCAATTTCTTCTTGCATCGCCATTATCCATAGTGAAGCATCTGAGTTGTTTATTGCCTCCTGATATGTTGATGGCTCACCGTCCTCTGTTAAAAGGTAGTATGCAATATTACCTTCTATAACATAATCTGAGTGCCAATTGGGACGTCTTCTAACACAATCTGATTGACGAGTTGTTGGAGCTTCAGAACTCTCTGGTTCTTGTTCATCATATGTTGGTTCTGCTTCAGAAGAATCTCCTTGTTCAAACTCCTTTTCCACATGTATCTATGTAGTCTTTGACTTTTCAGTGCTATTATCGTCTTCTTTTCTTTGTAGCTTATTTTCTATAAAAATAACATCCCTGCTGATGATCACTTTGCGGGCAGTGGGATCCCACAAGCGATACCCCTTTACTCCATCAACATACCCCAATAATTTGCATTTCCTGGATTTTGGATCTAGCTTTGAAATTTCTTGGGAGTTGTACATCACGTACACAATACTTTCAAATACATGGAGGTTTGAATAATCAGCTGGTTTACCAGTTCACATCTCCATTGGTGTCTTCAGCTCTAATGCAGTTGATGGAGCTCGATTCACCAAATAACAGGCGGTATTGACTGCTTCTGGCCAGAATGATTTTTCTAGGCCTGCATCCCTCAACATTGCTCTTGTTCTTTCTAACAAGGTTTTGTTCATCCACTCTGCCACTCCATTTTGTTGAGGAGTGTTCGCCACTGTGAACTGTCTTTTGATGCCTTCTTTCCCTCAAAAGTCATCAAATTCTTCGCTTGTGTATTCTCCTCCATTATCTGTTCTGAAACACTTGATCTCATTTCCAGAATCAAGTTCCACCAGTGCTTTGAAGTTTTTGAAAGTTGAAAACACATATGATTTCTTCTTAATAGGGTACACCCAGCATCTCCTAGAGTAGTCATCAATAAATGATACAAAGTATTTTGCTCCGCCAAGGGATGTAACCGGTGCTTGCCATACATCAGAGTGAACCAATTCTAAAACACTTTTGCCTCTAGAATTTGATGTGTTGAATTTCAACCGGTGCTGCTTACTTGTTATGCAATGCTCACACAAAGGAAGTGATACATTTGTTAAGCCTGGAAGTAGCTTTTGCTCCACAAGGACTTTCATTCCTTGTTCTGACATGTGTCCAAGTTTCTGATGCCATAGCATTGCAGAATCTGAACTACATGAGGCAACAGAGACTTCTGTTTCTAGCAAAGTCTCTCCCTTCAGCATGTACAAGTTTGATGCTATCTTTTCGCCTTTCAGCACCACAAGCGCTCCACGGAACACCTTCATGATTCCTTTACGTGTTTCAATCTTGCTTGCATTATTATCCAACAATCCATATGATAATAAATTTTTCTTCATACCTTTCACGTGTTGCACATCTCGAACAACTTTAATTGTTCCATCGTACATCTTCAATTTGATAGTTCCAATGCCAACGATCTCTAAGGCATGATCATTGCAACTATACACAGATCCTCCTGAGACAGGTTCATAATGATAGAACCATTCTCTTCTTGAGATCATATGATATGTTGCTCCCGAATCAATGCATATCTCTTTCTACCTTCCACGGTGGTTGACGCTTCACAGCATAGAGCATCTCCATTATCTGAAGTGTTTATAGTATTGCCTTGTGGATTGGAGTTTTTATTTAGACTCCAATAATCCTTCTTCAAATGACCCTTCTTTCCACAGTTGTAACACTTTAAATTCTTCTTGCTCCTCGACTTTGATCTACCATGTTTGTGACTGCTGCTTTGGCCACGTTCTGTTGATCTCCCTCTCATAGTTGTCAATGCTTCTGTTTGTTACAGATTTACTTGTCTATCTTCCTTGTTCTTGCGCCGATTTTCTTCTTGTAGAACAGCAGCTGCAACATCATCGAATACTAGACTGGTGACATTACTGTTTGTCAAGTTGATGATGAGTTGATCATACGAATCCGGTAGACTTTGAAGTAGAAGTTCAATACGTCTTGTTCTCCTATTTTACAGCTTAAGGATGTAAGCTGAGAAAATAAAGTGTTCAGTGTGTTTAAGTGTTCTGTCACTGAAGTAGATTCTGGCATACGGAGAGTATATAATTTCCTCTTAAGGAAAATTTTATTGTGCAACGATGTGGCCTAGTACAATTTGGTGAGATGATCCCATATCTCCTTAGCTGTCTTTTTCTCCTCAATGCTTGACAATACTTCATCTGCTAATGCTAGATGAAAGTTTGCCATAGCATTTTCGTCCATTTCGATCCATTTGCTGTCATCTGCAAAATCCACCGGCCTTTCACTGATAGCCGCTAGATACCCATCTTTCCTCAGGATGGCCTTCATCTTTAATTTCCACAATGAGAAATTTCTCCCATTGAACTTTTCAATATCAAATTTCGTTGCCATAGCTTCTTTTATGGATAGCTCCCACTATTTCACTATCGTGAATAGTTCTCTGGAACCTTCAAAGAATGGGTAATAACTTCTTACTTTCTTATGTTGGAGGATCCACCTTTTGGTGGCAACCACAAAGACAATAAGCAGATATTACACACTCTAATCTAGCTATGATACCAATTGTTGCGGAAGACGGCTATCAGATAGAGCAAAATCGCAACTGATAATTTGAGAAAATAAAAATGAAGATAAAAGAGACACAAAATTTACGTGGAAAATCCCTAAATAATATAGAGTAAAAAAACCACGGGCAACGGTAGAAGAATTTCACTATGAGAAAATAGGAATTACAACTTCTCTCTATCTACCAAGGAGAAAACAATAATAATTCTCTCTTGATAAAAAGGAGAAAAACAACTCTCAAGAAACTCTCTAAATTCTCTAGTATTGGAAGAAAGCTAAAATGCTTTGGGATGGTTTTGAA